TGTGTCCTTTGCCATTGCAGCCTCTACCAGATCTCTGCTGTCATCTCATGGCCTCCTTCTTCCAGTTAGCGACTGGAGTGGCTCATCACAGAGCAAATGGGGATTTTGCTGGGTTTTCCTCCTCCTCCTCCCCTCTTTGCTGTAGAAAATCACTACCCTGAACTCACGACATTCAATATTGGCTGACATGAGGCTCTGAACAATCCTGGCTCTCTTCACCTGGATTCAGGACATGCTTTGGTTCCCTAGCCCATGCCCTGCACTGTTCAGGGGCCTCCAGCTGAGGACAGCTTGCTCTATGCCCCATTATGGATGCAGGAGGAGCTCTCCTTGTTGCCCAAGCTATCTCCTAGTCACCCTGAGGATGCTCCCTGCCTGGGAGTAGGGAGTCTCCATCTAACCCTTCTTCACAGGTTCAACTGCTTCAGCTTCCTCTGGGAAAGGAGACAAAGTGAAGCCTGGCCTAACCCACTGGCATCCTGACTTCATAAGACACACATGTGCCCCACCAGACATAAAGGGAGGTGGTGTGTGATGGTGTCTGGGCTGCAAGCCTGGTTTCACAGGTATGTCCAGAGGACCACAGCAAAACTCCTGGCTGCTAGGTAGTAAAATCAGTCATTTCACAGCTGTAATGCACCTGACAAGTTATTGCAGCTGAGGCTTAGCTATGAGACAGGCATTTTACTCCTTCTTTAAACTGGAAACTCAGCAGAAGCTTCAGCACTACTAGTGTGACACTGCCACACTTTAATATGCATCACCTCCTGCAGCCAAACAGCCCAGCAGGCCCCCACTGGTTGTGATTTTTGCCCTGGAGGGCATTTCTCGAGCTAGCCCCCATGTCAGGCAGCACACATCTGCCACATTACCCACCCATATTGGTGGTCCCTCCCTCCCCATAGGAAACACTAGGTTCACCCTGCGTCTTGCCCTTGCACCAGCCAAGGGGCTGTGTGTGTTTTCCAAGCTCTCTGTACTTCCCAGCATAGCTAATCAGTGTTGGCCTCCCAGGCAGGAGATAACTCACCTTGCTGCCGTGCAGTTATCACCAAAAGGGCCACCCAGGCCCCGAGAAATGATCGCTTGTTCATCCTACGGGAAGGAAAGAAACCCGGACACGTATCACATCAATGGGAAAACGCATCCTCAAGGAAGCCCTGGGTGATGCTGAGTGCCATCACTTCCTGAAGCCACCGCCATGAGCATGCTTCAGAGACTGAGGTCCCTCACCCACCAGGCAGACCCTGGAGAAACGCGTGCTCTCTTCAGTGGTGTAATGAGATTTCCCTGGTGATACCAGCAAATAACCCTGCAGGTCCTGGCAAAGTAAGCCCATAGCTCCACGGAAGAACCCCTGCTCATTGCACGCAGTGTCTGCAAGTTGTAGATAGCCCCGGCTCTCCGTGGGCTGCCTGTTCTGACAGTTCAAAAGCAATTCCTTCCCGATGTACCTAGTGTGAGGACAGACACCTCAAGAGCAACAGCTTTGCACTGCTCCAAAGACAAGAGCCGATGCAGAGCTGAAGCGTGCTCCCCTGGGTAAGGGGCTTCAGGCACCACTTCAACTAACGCTTTGTGCTGGCTGCTAACACAACAATCACCATTTTTGACAAGTGTGAAAGAAGCACAAACATTTACACAGCTGGGCAACTCCTTGCTGTACAGGAATCAATGATAGAGAGAGAAACGGATACAGGGCTGGGAAAATGAAAGCGAAATCCTGTGCCAGCTCCAATTCCTTCTGTGCCTAATGCAATTTGTTACTCATTATTAATTCAATAGAAACTATTGCTAAAACACCTGCTTTGATTACTTCGCCTGTCGCTTTCCCTTCATTACACGCAGGCAGAGCTCACACAGAACTCCCAGGAAGGTATCGTGTGCTCCCAGCGTGTGCGCGCCCGCCAGATAAGTACGTGATCAGCTTCAACACAAACTCTGTCTATGCATCATGCACAGCCTTAGTTTCAATATCTTTGCCTTCCCCCTTTATACATCCCATGCATTTCAGTTGCGTGGACACGCTGCCTACAGAATCTAGCATCTCTTTGTGTTCTCCCTATAGGTCTGCCTCAGTAGCATATGGGGATCAACAGATCCAACTCCTTCCAAGTATACCTACATAATGCATAGAGCACAGGACTGCAACAGGGAACATGCCATCATCCGTCGCACATCCCTGCCACTTGTCTCCCCCTACCAGGAGCATAGAAAGCATGAAACACAGTGGAAGGAAGGTTCCTCCCTGCTTTGCTGCTCCTCAGCATGCCACTCGCATCAACACGGGCCCACAGCAACTGTTTTCTGCACTGAGAAAAATTCAATCCACCAAGGAAAAGTTTTACCCATCTTGGAAAGACAAAAGGAGAATGTCAGAATTTCACATAAATCATACATCTGAGTCACTGTGGATTCACTAGGAGAGACTGGGCACACAGTGACTACAGGAAGCTACGGCAGTCAAAGAACAAGAGCTTGGGAAGCATGACAGATGATGCAGAACGTGCTACTTAACATATCGCATTCAAAACTACAAAGTTTTAGGTATGGAAAAGAAAATTACCAACCTGTTTTGTAGATAGAGGAGCAACCTAAATCTGAAATTTCAGACAGATCTTGGTAGACCGGGGAAAAATCCTATGTCAATGGAGAATGCATCCCGGTCCTCCTTTGCCAATTATTGCCGATGACTGAAACAGTGTCTCAGTCCCCTTGCTCTTGCAATTGTAAAGTCTGTTTCCTTCAATGCTGTTCCAGGGCTGGAGGAGTGTTGAGTTGCAATCACAACTGTTGCCTCTATTGATAACCAGCAAGCTAATCTGCAGATCAGATTCTGGCCTGGAGAGGGAAAGAAGCCTCTTTCTTCCCCGAAAACTCACCCCCCTCAGGTGGATTCAGATGGAAATGCCAGCGAGCCGGAGCTGGGCTTGTGGCTGTGCTGCTCAGCATCACTTTTTGCCGAAGGGAAAAAAAGAAACCAACTCAAAAGAACTGAGCCCCTTCCTCCTTTGTGTCAGTGAAAAAGCACGCCCATCTATATAATGTTACAGGATTAGCATTAAAGAGTGCTAGGCTTAAAGCAGTGTTCAAAGGCAGTGCCCCAGAGTTCCAACCGAGTTACTTTTCCATCCAAGTCTTCTTTTACTTTCTGTAACTTACTTCTGATTTTACAGGTGGGAAAGGGAAAACTTACCCAGTGTTGCGTGCTCTCTCCACATCTGCCGGAGAGGGCTTCATTGCTGGTCCTGTTTCCACCCTCTCTGGAAGGATTCTGCTTGATCCCGTGGGAAGCTTCACTGGGGGGCTGCTGTGTTATTACCGTTTTCATTCTAGCAGCCTGCAGTTCCCCAGGGACATAATGGGCTGAGGGAGGATGCTTTCCATACCCGTGGTCACCTGAGCTGAGCAGCTACCAAGGATGCTTATTGTTTCTCAGGGCTTGGTGATGGCTGCTGCTCGGTGAACGTTTCAACCTGTGCTGACAGCCTGGGAAACACCATAAGCCCCAGAGAGTGGTACCTGCCAAAGGTCTGCAGGCCTTGAACTGTGTTACAGAGACCAAGGCTCTTCATGTGTAGCCTAAGATCCCGACTGCTTTCATTTGATTCCCATTGATGTCAATTGAGAGAGGCAGAACAGCAGCCGAGAGGTGATGGATTCCGCAGTCGGCAGAACCCTGCGCTACCCGTACACACACTCCCTGCCCTTCCATCAGGACAGGAGGGGACAGGAATGCCAGCAGCCAAACAGGAAGCACTTAGAAGCCCAGGAGCCTTGCCCAGGACCCTGGCTGCTCCTAGAACTGTGTCTAGCAAGTTCAGCCCCAAAGTGCTGCATCTTACCTCAGCAGTTTCTTTTAGTACATCAGGGCACCAGGCAGCACACTGCCTCCACAGCACATCCCAGAGCTTGCTGGCTCCGTACACCCCAGCGTGGCCTTGCTAGTAGGAAGCTTCCTTTTTTAATGTATTTTTCCCCACTTCTAAACCAACAACTACTTTAGGAGGGCCGGGGCACTGTAAAGCATTGACTGGTATTTCAGGGGCAGTTACTTTTCCAGCCTGCCATTCCATGCACCACGGCTTTTCCTTTCCATCCCATACAAAATGTGAATGTTACCGGCCACAGAAAAAATCAATTGACTCTTCTCAGCCTGTTTTGTAACACAGAGAAAACCAGGGAAAAGAGGTTTCCCTCTGCTCCTTTGTCAACTTAATATTCTGGTCCTGTTCATCCTGGACAAGTCTACACTGATGAATTTTGATTAGGTTTCACGGTCTCTTTGGGGAAGACTTTGTCTTCTAGGCTATTTTATTTTGGCAGGGGATGCTCCCATCACGCAATGCTGAGCAAACAACTGCTTTCCCTCTTCTTTTTATCCTTCTACCAGAAAATCTCCTTCCTGTGCCTGACCTCAAGGAAAACTCAGCATTGCAAGATGAGATAAGGGGATCTCCGGCTGCTTGACCTCAGCAAAACAACTGCAGGAAGAGCCGTATTGCATTCCCTTTCCAAGGAACCTGGCCCAGTCCGGGGAAGACTGCATCCCATTCAGAATCCTGAAGGTCATTTGGCGCAGGCCAGCATTGGCTTAGCTCATGACTCCTGCTTTAGTGGGGATGCTGCCCTCCCCATCACCACCTACAAACCTTTCCTTGAGGGTGAAACTTGTTTTAACCCCTAGGCCAGTCCCACTTAGGACATGGAGCAGGTAACGGAGAGTGAGCTGGAGCCTTCTTCAGCACCTGGAGTGGAGATGAGTAACCACCATGGAGGAATACAGTCCAGAAGAGGATTAGGTCTTCCAGCATCCTGACTTCTCCTTTCAACAAGCACATACCACACAATGAGGTGGCTCTGCCCGAGCTCCTCGGGCAGACAGGAGGCAGGAACAGTCAGCAGGACAAAGAAATCTCAGCAGCTTTCAGCCTGCCAAAGGTGTGTGTTAAACATAGAGGTGAGACGGAGGGAACACAAAAGTGCAAAACTTGGGACACTTTGTTTTGTGTAAAAACTTACATAAGTTTATTGAACTGATCCAAACCAATTACCTATTTGGCCTGAATTCCACTGCTAAGTCTGCGAGCAAACCAAAGGCAAACTGTGGGAGCAGGAAGTATATCCCCTGTGAGAGAAACCAGAGTAAAAAACAAGCTGGACTTAAGAGTTCTTCCTTTTTCTTTAAAATTACATATGGATGCATCATTAATAGGGAGCAAGAATAGACCTTCACATTGAAATTACAGCTCAAGTTTCCAGTAACTGCAGAAAAGCAATCACAGAGGCAAAGGCCCGAGATGGCTAAAGCCCTTCGAACGCTGCTCTGGGGAAGGCGTCTCTCTACCGCCTACAGAAGTGCCACATTCAAATGAGGGAGGCACAGCTGCCAGGAATACATATTTCAGCCTCTGGGCTGCTTTCAGCACCTCGTTTGCATTTTCAACTCCATACACGAACAGAACCTACAGAATCTCATTTACAAGCAAGAACAGCAACCGACGGAGGCAGAGCCGCCAAGTCGCCTTCATCAGATTACAGACCCGAGGAGGCGAGGGCAAACCAAGAGCCTATCCCCAGAAGCAACGAGCACCATTAGGCTCAGTTCCTCTGAGCCACCACGGGCCACACAATTATCTGCCACCGGAATGTGCGCAACTCCCAGTAATGGGGGTTACAAATCCCAGCGAGGAAGCAGAGGACAGTCGTCACGCCATGCATATTCATCACATCGCCGGTTAAGCGATCTGCATGAAACATCTGGTCAAAACATGGATAGTCAATAGGAATGTATCCAAAAAACACAACAGCACAGCATCTCATCTCAACACAAGGAGCCGTGCGACACTTTGGTATATAGCTGTCACCTAATTCCTTCCGAAGCAGGTGCTTTGCCCACCGCTATGCATGAACCAGCACAAACAACAAAACAGTTCTCGACAAAAGTAGCCCTCGGATAGAAGGAAACAAAAGCTAGAGAAGCCTGCAAATCTATTGTGTAATATAGATCCAGGGACCTCTTCCTAAAGCAGGGATACGCCAACACCACCAGGTCACAGCCCCTCAGGACATCGCACTGATTTAAATCAAGCCTCCTGCTAGCTCAGGACCCTCACAGATTCTTGGCACCCATCCTCAGCCCTAAATCTCCTCTCTCGCTCAGAGGCCTCCCTCTCTCCCACTGACACTGTCCCCTCTTTAGTGGTTACATGGCACACATACAAGACCTTTGCCCAGAAGGCATTACAAAAGGAAAGCAAGCCGACCTGGGGTATTTTGCCACATCAGCTGCATGCCATTTGGCCCTACTTTTCGAAGTCAACCATCTGGACACATAAACTGTCCCTGGATTTGGACACGACTCTTTGTCTGTGGGAAGCAAACCAGGATCGTTGGTTTCCAGCCCACAAGTGCTCTGCTAGCCACACAGAATGTGAACTGCTTCAGAACATCATCCCAAAACAACCTTCCCCTAACAAAGCAACAAGGCAGTGGTATTCATACTATGACTTACTGACCTGAACAAACCAGGGGAGCAGGTTTGGGTGCTAGCACCAAACCCCTGTCAGCTCCATGGCACTTGTCACCTTGTATACCTGTAGGTGTTCTCCTTTCCACCTTCCTCTCCCCACCGGGTCCACCGTAAATAAAAGCATGATGTACTGACTTTTCCAAGGTGGCACAGTGACAGCACTGTTCCCTCCACAGACTGGCTAAACTGTGGGTGAACAAAAGTCAAAGCACATACTTGGCACTTCTTTAACATCCCATTCCACTCTTTAATGGTGTTTACTTCCTTTTCTGAAACCGAGACATTTAATTGTGTTGAGGATGTTGGTCAACAGTACAGCATCTCATTAATACCAGTTACAATGCCATAAACATACCCATATAGGTAATTACTGCTCTATAGAACTAGGCCAGAGACACTTTTGCATCCTCATCGGTAGCTTACCTCTGACATTGCAGCGACTGAGAGATAACCTACTTAAACTGGAGGTCAAGGGGAGAAATAGGCTTCTAATATTAAACAACCATATCTTCATAAAACTTTGCTTTATAACAAAATATCTTATTAAACACAACTTTTCCTATGCCTATGTATGTATATATCATACAGAAGTGTTGGCTTAAGAGTTCTGCTATAAGGCAGCAAATGCCTTTCACTGCCCAAATGGAAAATACATCTTCAGTAAAGCTCTAGCTTATAAAAGCATCATCTTATGTTACACTGCCACCATCTCCCTGCTCTTTTGTTTTATGGGTACCACAGCTCCGCAGGTACGTGCCGCAGCCTCTACGCTACTAATGATGAGTCTTGCTCCATTTCCTATTGCTCATCTCAACAGGGCCAGGTAAATGACATTTTTGGCAGGGAGATGAGGCACAAATTAGTAACTTGTCTTAAATCCTCCCATTTTTAATCATTCCTCTGGACGCAGAACTACTCCGCTCTGGCTGGTCCCCACATCCCCGACCTGAAGACTATGAGATAATACTTGTTCCCCTCCCCATCCTACCCCACCCTACGATCTAGGTAAAATATGAAGAGAAATACACAACTCCAAGAATATAAAAGGAGCTTGGTGATATGGACAAAAGCATTATGGGAAAGAAAGTGCACATGGGGAGAAGGGAGTGTTTCAACATTCAGGTCAGAAGTTCACATGTAACTAGAGCCCTCACTGCACAGCTTCAAAAACTTGCATGTAGCTGTTTATGAGGAGGCCATCTAAAAGGTCTTCAACTTGTCAAGGGGGCAGAGGAACAAGGGGCATAAGAGAGATAAAGGAAGGAGGATCTCATTACACAATAAAGGGAATCTGCTCTGCAGTAGAAAATGGAGACTAATTTAAGCAGCAGCCTGCGATGCCTACGAGGTGCGTGTAGGGGGGAAGCCAACAGAGAGAGTGAAAACCTGCTTTACAATAAAGTTTTGCTACTCATCTTCTAGAAACTGATCTGAGCCAACACATTCTCCTAGTTCAGACCCTTAGCTGGGACCCCGCAGCTAGGAACCCCTGGGGGGAAAGTGCTAGGTTTCATTTCTGGTGCAACAGCAACAAACACAAACTTCAACTTTCCCCTAACTCTCTCCCAGGAGAGAAATCAATACTTCTTTTTTTCCCCACCAAAAAAATCAGGACAGTATGGATATAAAGCCTGCATTTTGAAAATAAATTGTTTCTTTCTAATAAGGGTCGCTTTCTTTCCCCCATTTCGTGCACTCATCTAACCCAAACCAGTGGAATTAAGTGGATGCACTAAGTACCTGAGCTCTGAATCAAGCGGAATACTGTTTTAGATCTTGTCACTGAACTCGAGCGTAACAAAAGGTTGAGACAGCACCTAGCTGCAAACAAATACTTGAGCAAGCTCGAGCCACAGTTGGATAGCTAGGCCATAGGGTGCTCTGGTGGAGCCCAAACCCTAACAATTTAGACAGAGAAGACAACAGGTCAAATTCTGCACCGAGCTGTCGTCTCCCTTATGGACCCTAGCACCCTTTAGCTTGAAGAAGTGACCATTCATGCCAAATCACGAGTATACCGGAGCATCAAAGGAAACATCAAGGTATTGCACACACTGAAACACACGCACTGAAGTCAACTGTCACCTCAAGGTCACCTGCAGTGGATGGCAGGCATGGTTTTCAGATCAGGGCACGTCCTCCGGGCTAAGAAATCACCTGCTAAAGAAACACAACCAAACCTCAACCAACCAACCGAAACAAAAACCTTGCCAAAACTCCTTAATGCATGTGTGTGGGTGTGGGGGGGCATGTGTGTGCACCCGAAAAGAGGCTATTTCATTCTGGGCTCCACGTAAATTTTATCTCCATCCCGAATGCCGTAGGAATGCAGTGCTCGCGAGCTGTATTTCATCTCCTCGGGACCAAAGGGAGCTTCCTGGTCCAAGTAGAAGAGCAGCATGTTGCTTGTTGACAACTGCACGACAGTTTTTAAGTGCTTCTTCAATTCTGCCACAGTCTGATCCAGACGGATGGACATCTCTTCCACCTTATCCTGGAAGTGAATCTCCACCTTCACGCTGCTCTGGGGCCGAAGATCCACCACTGCCAAGGGCTCCAGCTTCCCATACTTCGTGACCAGCTCGTGATACCTGTAAAATTAAACGTGTCCAGAGTTACAGCAGAGCTGCTCATAGTGTTTCACAAGTCAGTTTCTGTTTCACATTATGATTCTACCGCACTTGAGCTGCCACTTGATGCAAGGATGCTATTAGGTTGCAAAGCATAAGCAAACATTGGCAAGGAGAGTACAGTGACTGGATGACAAGAGGGTGAGCACAGGTCCCAGGGTGTGATTCATGTGAAGCCTGGAACTCTGATGGAGCTAAAACCAGAACCCAGACAGCAACGAGCTGTCCCCATCCTCCATAGCTGGCTCTTCTGAAACATCTTGCAGTTTAACTGGCACTTCAGTCAAGATGGGAAGGATGGATGAGGCTCTTATGTGTAAAGAATACTGCTGAGGTAGCATTCAAATTGCATGGAGCTTCTCTCCATACAAGGCTCCTTTTCCCTAAAACAACAGGGGAATTTTCCTAGCAGAGCCACACACTGCACCATCACTTTCTCTTTGGAGCCTTCAACTGTCCCTCACAAGGCCCATCCTCGGGAGCCATCTCCTGCAATGGAAAGCCCATCTCACCCTCCCACTCCCTTCAGCAGGTATCACTCCAAGTCTGCAACTCCCCTGCCTGGCTGGGAAAGAGGCGAAACGACCACACAAAACACAATGTGACTGAAATGACAAAGACCAAGAGCTGCTGGGAATGGTAACGTTTCAGAGGCCCTCCACTATGTGCTGTACAGAAAGCTCTTTTTGTTCCCAATACGAGCCCGAGCTGAATGCGATCGGTGCTGTGTCACGGCCCCTGTTGAGAGATGATGGGACCTGGCAGGCTGGGTGACCCCAGGGAGTCCTGCTCAGGACAGGAATGCTCCTGAAGAACAGCAGACCCTCTGTCTGCAGGGGAATGAGGTAAGGGCCACAACACACTAGGATTTCCCCAGTCTCACAGACAAAACGAGCTTTCACTAAGGCACAGCATCCAAAGGCAGGCTGGAGCCCTGCTCTCACACTCACCTGCAGAACGATAGGATCAGGCCTATTTCCTTGGAAAAACCATTAGTGCTCAAAGGAGACGGCACACTCCCCATATTTTACCCACTGGGCTACTGCCTGCAGTAAGAACAAGTGCTAGCCAACGTGTCGCCAGCAGAGAGGAGATCTTTGCAGCACAGTTTCCAACACCTCTGGAAGGATGTGGTCAGGAGAGGAATAGAGAGCAAACCTGCTCTTTGCTGCCCGCAGACCATTTTGGGATATCCCTTCAGCTCTCATCATCTCCACATGCTGCAACCCTTCTTATGTGCCAACTAGAAGCAGTTCATGCCTGGGGAAACTGCAGTGAACAGGGCTGATGGTGGGAAGAGTATGAAGAGGGGGGCAGATTTCAAGCCTGCTGAGAGAGAGAAGCACCAGGAGTGGGCTAAGATTACCCGAATGCATGCTGTAAGTATGCAGAGGGTCAGGCAATGCTGTCTTACATTTTCTCATGTTGAGGAAATGCAGAACAAGGTTTGAAGCCTGCTCCTTGTATACTAGCTGCAGCCTGCAAATAAAGTTTAGCCTGAATGACTGGCTTCCCTCAAATCAGTAAGAACGAAGGCACTCTCCTCATATGGTTCTTTTGTACCCCAATAACAGGCACCCTGGAGACTTTCATAATCACCCCTTGCAGCCTGGCAGGCGCTGGCTGCCAGAGCAGAGGATGCTGAAGAACTGAGCCCGGCTAAAAGTGTCTCTGATACTCTGCAGATAAACAGCAGACCAGGCAAGCGGAGGACTCATTAAAAACCCACAGACACAAAGACGTCAATCAAGAAGACAGCCAATATTGGACTGTAGGCTCAGCACTGCTTTCTAACCCACAACATCCAGGCAGAGATTACTCTTTCCATTTCCCTGCTTTCTGATCCCTTTGAGCTGCAGCCCATGAAGACATGCAATGCAAGCAGAGGGGTTTGCTGTGTGCTCTTCACTTATCACATGCTGCACCTCGACAGTCTTGCGGGGGGCTGCTTACACTCGTGAGGTTTCCATGCCCAAGCGTGTCTTCTTCCTCTGCTTGAGGCAGCACTGCAATGCAGATGCCATACCCCAGCAAGAACATGCATGTGTCCTGACTAGACTCTAATTATGAATCACCTTCAGAGAAACCACACCAGATTTGGAAGCAAATAAGATGAAGCTTTAGCAACAAATACACACGGAATCACTGCAGAGAATGCCAGCTTTCCCTTCCTACAAGGGCTGCTGCACACAGGTCCAGGAACTGAAAACCAGCCCTCAGCACTAGGGACACTCTCAGCCATCTGCAGCCTTGTTAGAAAATAGCTTGTAGTGGCACACAACTCCTCCAGAACAGAACAACCCTCTTTAGTAGCTGCTTAAGTCCCTTGGAAATGCTTCACAGATGAAGGGATTCAGACAAAGAACCCATTGAGCAAGAAAAGGGCAGTAACAGTGTTTAAAGGTTAAGAAATCAAAGGAGGAGGTAATTCTCCTGTACCTTAGTGAAATAGCATAAAGCTAGCATGCTGGTTATACCCAGCTTTTTTGGATGGGATGAGATACCAGTTACTTCTTACATGAGCTCCTGTCTGGAAACTGACCCTAGCTGCATTTGGTACTATATGCACACAGCCTGCTCCCAAAGTCCACATCCTAACAGTAGCATCAAGTTGTATCCCACTGTATCCTTCTAAACAACTGGACATACAAAAAACTTGTCACCACAATACCCAGAGACACAAGGAAAAGAAACAGAGTCTGACATCAACTCATTTAGTCATCCTCTTATGCACAAGCCCTGGCAAGCTCAGTACTGCACACACATTCCACCAGGATCAAAGGGCTACTCATACCTTAGTGTCCCTCTCAGTATGCAGCTGAATACATCGTTATTCTCCCCTTCTAGAGCCACAAACACAGGGAACAAAACAGTTTTGGTAGAAATAAAATGTTACGGAAAATAATCCATTTTGGGAGCAGCACCATGAGCTCACGGTCCCCAGCTCCCCATCCTCTCCCCTGCATCCTCCGCCTCTGCTGCAATTCCTGCCAATATTTCTTTCCATTTTTCTGCTTCAAGGACTTTTAAAATTACAAGCAGGGCTTGTCCTCAGAAAAAGGCACAAGAGGGATCACCAGCTGTCTTGCTTCCCTGACTACATTAGTACCCTTCGCCTCTGAACTGACCCCAGGATGCCTTTAACAAACACAGTAATTGCTGGACCTATTAGTAGTCACATGAAATGCCATGCCCTCATTCCCCATTCCAGCCTTTCCTTGCCCTTACTGTATCGCTAAGGCACATACACAGAAAGGAGACAGTTTACTTAGGAGGAAACACCAACCAGATTCCATTTGCACCTTTCTTACCCGTACCAGGCCATACCTTTGACCTTCTCTGCCTCAGTTTCTCCCTTCCTCTGTCTGGAAACACATACACACTCTTGTCCTACCCTCTTTCCATAAAGAGAGGGCTCCGAAGCTTTGCTGTCTGTAAAGCACATGGGGGTTCCAGGGCAAAAGGCATGCCAATGCAGTGGCTTGATGTTCCGTGATCCTTCCTCAGCCCATTAAGAAGCAGTAAGTAGATGCTGGCACAGAGAAGATACCAACTGAACAGCATCTGTCAAAGTTCATTAGTTTACCAAGATAAACGGATCATTGGGCATACTTTTTTGGCACAGAAAACCCATCAGATTTGTGATTTGTGGGCCTGAAAGTGAGGGGACAGCATCCCATCCACCAGTCACATTCCACACACCAGATGGTCAAGAGAATTAGACGCCCTGGCCTGGCACCAGAGAACACGTTTGTACTGGCTTGTGGGGACTCCCAAACACAGGTGGATTATGAAGCTAGCCATCAGGGAGGCCAGGAAGCAATGAACATCATGAATTGAACAGTCATGTGGTTTAATGGCACTTGACATGGACACTCTAAGACTAAACCTGACTCAGAAGTGATTCTACAAGTCATCAGACAATATTCTAATATAACAACATTAACTAAAACAGATTGAGGAAGGCAAGACATGGAACAGCTAGCCTGATATAACACAATCCGTTCTGTCACCTTTCCTTTTGCCTTGCTGCCCTTCTGCCCCTGCTCTCCATTCCATGACAAAGAGCATACCTGAACGGGACTTCCTCCTCTGGGAATTCCATGTAATACCGGATGAAGAATCGCTCCGAGTCCTCTCGCTCCCCATCGGCAACGATGCTTCCGTTGAGCTTGACGATAGACGGCAACCTGCATGCAGACACCAAGAAATACAGTCAGCAAGAAGAGAAACCCACAGGGTGACTGACAAGACAGTCACCGCCACATTCAAACCAAAGTATTTTCATCTCACGTGTGCATCATGTGCACAGGTACGTATCAGGCTCAAAATTCGATGAAAAGCAGAGAAATCAGGCTCAACATTGCCACTACTCCCATTTTCCAACACAACAATAAAGAAACCAAAGCTCACATCTTCTTGAGTGGTGAATTCGCACCAAACCCTGTCTCCTAACAGCCTCTTCCTCCAATTACCCACTCCCAGCCATTCATTGCCATGTAACTCTTCTGCTGAGCACAATGAACAAGGAACAGACCTGGCTATTAGCAGCTTCCTGCGCTCCTCAGTGGTGTAGGACTGCAGCAAAGGGATTCCTAGCAATTTCACTTCCTCGAGCTTGGGAAAAGAATTTAACTTGTCAATGTCTTCCCAGCAATGCAGACCTGCTCAGAAGAAAAGACTTGCTTAAACAAACACAGATAATACGTCGTGTATCCAAGATAACAAGACTATACATGACAGGCGAGCATCAGATCCTGTTTCTGGGAGAAGTCAGCCTTTTGATCACGATGTACTGCAAAAAGTCTCTTTCATTTGCTACAAGACAAAGCAGTTTAAATTCACTCATGATGGTTTGCATGTCTAGGAGGATGATCTCCACAGCTGATTAGGGAGCTCAGTTTTTTATGGACTCTTTGGCCTCACTGCTGACGACTGACTAGCATCAGTTATGACGGCTGCATCTATAGAGATGCTGCCTTAAGTAGTATTAAAGTTATCAGGACTTTGGCCATTCTAGACATCACTAAATAGCTATTAAATAGCTTTAGCTCGCACACATGACCACCTTGGGTCCCATTTCCACTCCTGACCCAAGGGTAAAACAGTCCCAGAAGCCATCCAGCCATTTAATGAAAAAGACTTTAACTCAATTTCAGCCCCCTGAAGACCTGACATCTGGGATAACAAAGCAGGCAGAGAGTGTAAAATAAAATAGGATTGAGCAGCAATACAGCCCTCATTATGTGCTGACATCAACACTTCTCATCTTCTCTTCCCCTTGCTGTGACTGCAGAAACATCTTCTGCGATGCTTTTCTGATGACTGCTCCAAAAGCTTACACTGGCAATGTGAGTTAGGAGACTGGTTTCTCTGAACAACACCCAACAGCTTCACCCACACAGTACAGAAAATGAGAAAAAAAACAGAAATAGTACTGGTTTAAATAAAATCAGGGGTCTCATTTGAGTCTCAGTTCAGAAGAAGGGGCTCTTTTGAGAGCAGAAAGAAAACTCCTAAGCATCACGGCAGGCAGGCAGAGTTTCCGTTCCCCATAGCACTCAAAACACATCTGCCAAGTGTTTAACATGCTCCTTGGGATTTCTGTTTGACTTCCAGCTCCCAAAACATCAAAATGCAATATAGAGTCCAGAGTTCTTGAATATCTGGCATCAAAATTGCAAAACTACTTACCACAGGAGCACTCGCTACACCGTGAGACAGTGCTTTCGAATCCAGCTTAACAGGCTTTTCTTCCTCTAGTTAGCTTTAAGCTTTTATTATAAGGATTCCTTGATGCTCACATTGCAGAGCATGTTAATAAATCACCTTCTACCTTGGCTAACACTTAACTATCACTTGCACAGCACATAAAGCTGTAAAGAACAGAAGATTATGATGCATTAAGTACTCCTGCAGAAGAACTTCTGGCATCTCACAAACACATCAGAGCCCTCACGAGCTGCCCTGCAGCTCCTGCTCCCCGAGCATGGGGTGCTCTTCCTGATATGCCAAATGCTGCTTCTCTTTCTGGAGCGTTGGCTGAAAATTCTCTGGGGCTGAAATGTAAAAGCAGCCTCAAGCATAACTTGTGAGCTTCTAATAACTGAGCACACATGACAGACAGCCCTCACATGCCACATACCTACACATACACTCATTTTCACTCAGAATAAAAGAGGGATTAAAGGCAAATGGGATTCTTCCATCCCCTCCACAGCCAGACATTTATCCTTCTCCAGCCAGAAGCATCTGAGGCTGGGATAGGAAACAGAGGGGAAACTACTAATGTAAAAAACCTGTGGAAGCTCCTTTTGAGTAGCTGCAGGTCCATGCTCCTCTGACTCATCCTTTAGACAACGACTAACCTCAAAAAGCAGCAGGTGAAGCCCACAGAGATGGGCAAGTTGATTTCTTGCCCATTTTCCTCTCCTAATGCTCCCTTCTTCAGGTCAGGACACTTGAGTGCATCTGCTTGCATAGCCCTGCATTAGCACCATTAGAAAACTGGATGTGCCAGGCCTGTTGGGACTACATTTATCAACAGCTTTTCGATTCTGCAGAGAAGCCAGGACAGACTGCTCAAAGGTCACTGGGCATTTCCAGCTCTGCTACAGCAACAGAACTATCCCAATGGTTTAGACTCTTGCTCAGCACTTCTGCCTTCACCTGTCCAGGAAGCAATGCTGACTGCAGGCTACTTAGTGCTAACGCAGCCTGAGAAGCAAGCACCTCAAGGCTGATGTTTCAAAGAGCACAAAGCAAGTGTGGGTTTTCACCTTCTCGAGAGGAGAGGCTCAATGCAGAGAACAAAAAGCATACTGCTTCCAGGCTCTCACCTGACTTGTGCAAATTGATGGATCGCAGGTTGGGGAACAGCCTTGCTAGGGAATCCTCTGACTCTTCAATGGTTGTGAGGTTGTTGTTAGCCAGGATAAGCGTGTCCAGTGATGGAAACATAATTCCCAGTTTTCGAATTTCAGTCCAGTCTTGAAGATTGTTATCAGTTATGTGGAGTAATTTGAGAGACTGACAGCAAACTGGAGAACAAGACACTGTTTCATAGTCATTAAGGCACAGAAAGAGCTCCTCCAAGCTGCACAGGGGAAGAAAGATCAGATCGCCATCTCAGCATACATTGAGATCTCAGGTACAGGGACACGCGCATGCGCTTTTAACATGACTTTCTACAACAGCTCTTATGTGATTTGAGAAGCTGGTGTAGAGAAGAGATTTGAGCATTCTGAATGGAGCATTTCAACTCCATCTCTGCTTCCATTTGTAAGCTTCCTCCACAGATGAAAAACACCTCCAAGTGTTCCCCTAGCCCCCAGTATTAATCGTGTAACAGATTGCTCTGGGTGGTGTCCCACATGTGTGCCCAACAAGCCCCCAACCCAGCCCCAGTGGTGGTTGGTAACTGCTCTCAATGCTCACAACTTATAGAGGTGTCTTTACATGACACTGATGATGCTTTTTTCCCCGACATCACTGGTTTTGTCAAATATCCCCATTAAAGAATAAACAGGTCCCACTAGGTTTTCAGCCAACTAAACTAGCTCTCCTAATCCCAAGGAAGTGAGCATTGGCCATGCAGGTTATACCATTATCATCATCTCTGCTCACAAAGCCACACAAAGAGGGATCCCTTATCAAATCGAAGCCACTGAGGACATCTGCAGAAGCAGAATGCCTTCGCCAAGGTGGACTGTGGCCAAGCCACAGAAATCAACACTTTTGCCCAGAAAATCATGATGAAATATTACTTGACAAGCAGCCAGACCCTCAGACTTGCATCTCATTCAAAAGCTATTAGCACACGTATGCATCGCACCATTCATTCTGCAGTGACTCAGAGGAAAGCACGTCACCTCCTGCATTGTTGGGGTCATTATCCGTCCCTCGTATGCAGATTTGGATGAGAAGCCCAAGGCTTTGCAACACCACTGATGCGCTTTTAAGACAATGTGAACTATTTACTTGGCCAGTTCCCCTCTCATCCCTCACCATGTGATTTGACCTGCATACAGCAAGCACCCCTTTCTATGCCCCACTTGCCATGCTTACTCTGGTAATTCCTGCAGGATTGTGTGGACTGTCTCCCAGGAAGCTTTGCTGTTGTTGAGCACAAGTTTGCGAACCCCAGCGAAAGAGCCAGCACACCTTCGCTCTAAAACGGACAAACTGAGAGGGTTGGAACTCAAGTTTAGAAACTCCAAGTGGGGAACGTTGGACACAATTTTACTGACCTAAGTGGGGAGGGAAAAAGAGAGAGAAAGAAAAGTGTATCAGGCAGTGATCTAACCTCATGCATTAACACCCTATCCCCTAAAAGGGGGGCCTTCGGAATCACCACGAGCCAAAGAAATTATACTGGGGGGGGGGGGGAAACAATGCTTCTGGATAACTACCCCCTATAAATCATACTCCTGCTATTCACTGATCTAGATCGATTGGTTAATTGCTCATTCACCTCAACAGTTCATTTAATTACACTCTCCAAGCAGCCTGATAAGAGAAAGCCTGTCTCTTGCGGGAGGTCGTAAAAACCTCAACACCAAGATTAAGCAGCAGCACGCTCCAGGAGCCAGCATACTGTACCTCTCTTTTAGCAGGAAGGGAATGGGCACATCTCTTGGGTTTATGGCCAACACTGATCACTTGCTCGGGTTTATGCTGCTCCACACTAGCCACAGACATCACAATTTTGCCCAACTTAAAAGCCAGAAGCTCACTGCACACATACAATGGATTCCTTACTCAATTCCATTACTCTGAAAACAGCAGCTTTCTTACATTCAATCCCAGTGTTGGATGGGAAGAGATGGGGCAGACCATGACATACACAGGGCCCAGCTGCTAGCAAAGGGCAGCTGTATCATGCAGCAGTTGAAATCAAGTGTGGAATGCATGATGCTGGAGACAGTCTCCCTCAGAATAAGACAAGCCAGGAGACAATCCCAGTTCATAGCAGATACACCCTCAGTACAAAACCATCTTCCCTGGCTCTAATCTCAACAGACAAGCCTAACATTTCTCTCCTACTCGCTGAGCTAACACCTTCTAGGCTAACATGGAAATAACAGGAACAGGGAAACCCATCCCGATTCTGGCTTTGTGACCCCCACGCCAGAGCTGGGACATTTCTGCAAACACTGAGCTAACAACTATTTAAAGATAAGAGTTTGATGCAACAGAAACACATAAACATGCTTATGTTGCAGCTCCTGTTCTTTTCCATATATTTCCAACAATAAACACTAACATAAAAGCAGAGCATAAGCCAGTGAGGAAATGTTAACAACTGAACACATTGCAATTGGTTTACTCATATTACATTGCATTTAGCTAGCATAAATGCACCCAAGCACTTCAGAGGATTTTACATTGCATTTAGCATTAATCAATGAGTCCTCAGAAATATCTTTTGAGGTAAAAGTTATTAAAACCTGTTTTGCAGATAGGGAAACAAAAGAGGAGAGAGAATAAATACAGAATTGGTAACAAAGCTGGGAATCAGCTGCCATCACTTGGACCTCTCAGTTCTTGCTCTGTTAAAAACTGCACTGTTCATTAACCTCTTGATGTTAGAAATGGCAGTTCAAGTGCTTTGCAGGATAAATATATATAAATATATACATATTTGTCATGCCCAGGCCAAGATCGTAAGTCATGAGGTAAATGGATTGAAGTGCCCAAATGGATTAAATTCATCATGTGTATTGCTCAGTTGTTGTCAGAGTAAATAAGCATCAGCTTCAAAGATGAGAAAGAAGTCACAAAAAATGGAAATCTCTCTCATTTAAATGAATAAAGCACTCTTCTAAGCTGCAATGCGTTTGCAGTCATGGCAATAGCCATCAAAGTTACTCAGAAAGATGCACATGTAGCCATTTTACCTCATGCCAGTCTTCCAGTTTATTGTCAGAAAGATCTAGCTCAGACACATGAGCACAGAAGGCAGCGATTTCATTCTCATCCCCTGCACAGGTTATGCCACAGCTGTTCAGTACCAGCACGCTCGGAAGGTTGAGGCGATCTGAAACAGGGAAAAAGAAACGATGCCCTCTGGTCAGCCTTGCGTTGCTTACTTACAGAAGGTAACAACAAGCACAAACATGACACCGAGCAACAGAAAAACTCTATCAGTAATTCCCCCATTTACACATATTGAGGGATCTCGGGATAAACATGGATTTTATAACAAGTGACCAACAACAATCAAGAAGTCTTCTCTTGCCTAAACAGGAAGTACCACTCGGTATCAGTGCTCTTCAGTTACCACATGTATTTCTGTTCACACGGCAGCAAGGATGGGGCAGTCTTTCATAGTTTGCAGTATGTCTCATATCAGCTCTTGCCAGAACTTCTGCTCTTCCCCAGGCATCTGCTACTGCAGATAGGATGCAGGACTAGGTGGACTGTTAGTTGCACAGTCAGACTCCCTTATGCTCTGGTACTTAGCCCACTTGTGGTTACTAACAGCAAAGATGTACTTTAACATTTCCATTCTAAGCTTTCCCTTTCCAACAATGTAAAACGTTCAGCATTCTTACAGCCTGCAAAAAGCTCATGTCTTTACTCTGCCTTTTAAATTCCTGTTTTGCTCTAGTCCCTGCTCAGGCAGGTAAAAGTTCTCCCAGCTATTTCACAGACAACGACTTGGATCTCAATGACAACCTCATTCGGTAAGGCCAAACCATGACAAAGTTACAAGCTATAGATTTGTAACAGGAAACCATTGCAACACAAGAAATGCACATTTAGTCAAGGCAAGCCATCAGTCTTACACTCTTCTGCATACAGTAGAGCTCTCCCACCTCTGTTGAGTATCTAAATCTAACAGCAAGCTTTTTCCTGAAAAGATGGCTCTTTTTCTCTCTCCTTAATACTTGATAGTTACACAACTAGAAAGCAATTCTAGCAGCAGACAATTATCTGGTGTGATCAGAGTTTACAAGTTTCTGGCAAGCTTGTTTATTAGCATCCAGCTTCTTTAAAGGGTAGTGTTGTACTTGGGGAATTAGTTATGATACGCTTGTAAGTCGCATCTCAATCGCATTTTAGACTTAAAAACATGCCCTTTTCCCAGCATCTAAATAGCTCAGTAAAGTGGGTGCTCACACACCAGAGAGAGGGCACTGACTGAATAGTCCATCAGGCCCATTTCCTGTTCATGCTAATTTTGAGCAACACGCTGTTCGGTTTATCCTCAGCTGAACTCAGGCCCTTTTTTTTCTCCTCTGTCACACTCAGTAACTGTGAACTTCATCCAGCTGACTTCCATGGCTCTTTTCCCCTTTGGGGCTGGTTATGATACAAATTGACTTGACGGGATTTAAACCACACTTACCAGTCAAGATGGGTAAGAGGTTACACAAAGAAGAGGCAGTTCCACTAGCACATGGCACCGACCTCAAATTCAGATCAAGTGTTATGTATTTGTTAAGCCATCTCTGCAAAATAGCCACAGTTGCAGCCAATAATGAAAGAGCTGGAGAAAATTAACTCCAGGGACTGCTGAATCCTCAAAAGTCAGCCTGTATAAGGCCTTATTTCTATCTTCCATTGACAGATTCTGACTCTGTTATGCTGTAGGGAAACTTACTTTTTCCAGCAACCAGTTCAGCCCCTAGATCAACTTTCTTTGTTAGACCGCAGTTTCTCAGCTCTTCACTAAGGAACACATTATAATACCCCATGATGTTTCTTTTTCTGGTTAATTCAGGGCAATTCTTTCAACATAAGAATGGCCAAGAAACTGATCCCACCCAGAACCCACAGATGCTCGGCAAGACCAGAAGCCTGGTTCACCTACCTTTCATAGGTGAACCCTGTGGAGTTGCTGGGACATGCACCCCCATACCAGGTCCACGACGATATGGGAAGTTCTCAGGGCTGTATTTCTCACAAAGAACTTGCATGAAACTCCTTCCACTGGGCTGGTCCATGCTCCCTTCTTGGACTTCTGGTTAGCACTGAAAAAACAGAGCACACAACCAGTCAGCAACCAATAATAATCTCCAGTACTGGTCCCTGAGAACACAGATCACAAAGTGTCTCGATGGGTTACGTCTAATAGGTCCTATTTCCAATTCAAAATTACAGTCAAATATTACCTGAGATGAAACCAAAACCAAGCAGAGGGTCCAAGCTACACAAATGTGCTTTCAATCATATCACAACAGGCTAAGTATGAGACCTCCTTGTCCCACATGCTCTTACAGGACAATTGCCAATGTGCCCCAGGCTGCAAAACATGATTTCTGTACCTGCCAAGAGGGCTGTGTGATACTCACAGATATCTTCAAGCACATTTCCAGGGCAGCAAGAAGGGGAAAGAGCAAGAAGCTGTTTCTGGGTAAAAGACTGCTCAAATAAGTGTTTTCACCCTTGTCTTTAACTCAGGACTTTCTGTCAGGATCAGCTTTTTGAATGGGGGAAAAAAAGAAAGGCAAAAAGGATCCACACTTCTCTAACTGCCCATAAAGAAACACTCTGCAAAGCAGGTTATGGTTTGCTTTTGTAATATCAGTACAACGGTGTAAAGAGCTTGGAGCCTAACGCTCTGATAGCAAGACTTCCATCAGCTGGCTCACTGGGTGTCATGGAACTACTTGAGTTTGATGGTAAGCTTACTCAGGGCTCTCACCCTCCTCGACAGCAGCGGCCCATTCAAAGCAAGCTTTGGCCTCATAAGAAGCATCATCATTTCTTCTCTGACACTGGCAATGAACTACAGCCCTCCCATCCTGCTTGCAAACCTGTTCTGATTAGAGCGCAACTGCTGTGTCACGAAACACTCTCGAGCACGTATGAGCACATCATTTGGCCAGTCCAAAAAGCCAGTTTTGCCAATTCAATTTTGCAGCTGCTTAATGTATCTGGAAGATAAACGTGCCCTTCATATCTGTGTCTGTCACAGAACAGCACAGGAAAAAGGACTCACCACACTGCAGGCTGCCCGGAAAGATACTGAGTGTCAGCTGGAAGTATATTTGGCACAAAGACACCGTGATGGTCGGCGTTCTGCTGTACCCTAGGTGGAACTAAGCTTATCTGTCCTACTTTCCTGCACATAGGCTGACCTTGACATTGTATAGTTGTCTGGATAATGAAGGAATTTAGCTTGATACATGCACCAAGAGAACCACATTGCTCCCAGGTTTCACACAGGCTGTGTAGTCCGAAGCAGTGCCTGCTACCAGCCATGGACACGGAGCAGAGATCCACATTCACGGGTTCTAATACAAGGCATGGATTCAACTGCAGGTTTCCTACAGGGTACCATTAGTCATGGAGCAGCATTTTTACTAAGAACTGCATCATTACATTTCCAGTATAGCAGCAAAACCCAGCTCACAAAGATACATATGTTATGCACATAAACCTGCACCTCCAGGTGGAAATCCTTACTTCTGAGTTCCTGTTGGGGCCACATGCATGTTGAAAGTGATGTTGCTAACCAACACTGCATTAAAGTTTGTGCCTGCTGCCATAAACTTTCCTTTAGCTTTATTACAGGAAAGGAGAGAGAGAAAATCCTGAGCAGAAGGGATTTAACTGAGGTTCAGGTTCCCTTTGCTGAGAATCGGCTGCTTAACAAACTGCTTCTTCATAAACAGACTAAGGTACTTCTGTCACAAAGGACTTCACTATAACAGGAAGCAAGCTGACTGAAGCCTGTTGTAATTGTTATATTATATAACAAGTTCACATGTCACAAATAGGGACTTAAAGGATTGGTCTTACTTAAAATACCCCAACAAAACAAACACACCTTTTGCAGCCCTCAACAACTTGGCTGATGTGTATCTCAAACTGAACCTCCTGTCACTAGATTATCTAGAATCAAGAAGGAAATCAAAGTTTGCATTAGGAACAAGGCATTTAGTTTCCTGCTACACCATTCTGCATGCTACAGGAACAATTTGCATTGACAGCCAAGGCTTTAGGCTGAAAGGCCTCATTCCAGAAGCAGGTCTGGAGCTCAGTGCTGCAGGACACACTGATACTGCTCCCTGAATGCACATTCACACATCCTGGTCTGGAAATTCTGGAACTCCCCATGCTTAAAGCTGTCTGTCCTTCACATTGCTTTTTTATCACCTCCATTCCCCTTTATCTGCTGAGCAAACATCAGCTGGAATCCCAAATGAGAAAATCACCTTAACATAACAAAAGAGGCAAAAAGCTGTGTTTTCAGCTACACTATGAGGGCAACCCAGAACTGAGAAAAAACATCCCTAATGCCATTTACATTCACCAGCTTTGAATCACAAACATTTTCTTTCTCAAGCTATACTTTTGCATGCCAAGGCCATTGCCGGATGCCAAAGATGTCAGGGAGCGGACAGCCACCTTTCCCACTTCCCTTCTCCTCCCCTTTCACATTCACTATAATCATCTGTCATGCACGTGGCTCCTCTGAATCACTACGATTGCTCGAGAGCAAGGACTAACAACATGCAAAGCAAGGATGACACATTTCAAGTGCACGTTGCCTGCACAAGGGCAGGGTGCTTTGCAAGGTGCCCATTTCCGAGTGCTTTTCTGCCGATGGCACAAGGCACAGCTCACGCCCTGCCATAACTCTGGGGTTTCTGAATGACAAATGTATGCTCCAAAAGATGCACTCAAGTCTTTGGAAGGTGTCAACGAGTCGTCTTTGTTGTCTATATTTAAATGCTCTGCCAGAAGGCTGTGGCTCCAGTGACACACAGCATGGCATGTGTCTACAGAGAGCACGAGCCTGACTCAAGATCCAAGGCAGTGAAGTGACAAGAGAACACCAGAAATGACATGAAAAACGTTTCTATCCCCATGCTATAAGCCTATGAGGAGAACAAGAGACCCTCCAGGAGAACTGCATCACTAATGCCATTCTAATGAAGCCCAGTGCCACTCGAATGCCTGCAGAGCAGGTCCTAACCAGCCACACACCGAACACACTTTGACATGTTTGGATACACGGAAAGCAAAGCGTAAGGAATAGATGCGACAGGACAAACATCTGTCTACGAGAAGCTGCTGTGTCCTTCTCCTGCGACACGATTCAGGCTTATTATACATGAAGCGATCTTGACAGCCAGAGATGAACAGCATCAGGGTAGACACGCTGACCCTGCCTCTGACAGGATGCTACCAGCACTCCCCTTGGGGGCTGCTGCAAAAACAAACTCCACCGCACAAGTGTGCAGCCCCCCTTGCCGGCCCCTGCCCTGTGCTGTGGGGCCCCACGGTGTGGGGCAGCCCCGGGGCCCCATTCCCCGAACGCTCGAGAGCCCCTGGGCCGGCCCGGCCGCCTCCAACACGGAGGTTGAACTGCCCCGACCCCCCTCAGACCCCCCGGGCAGGTCGGATGCGGGTGTCCGCGGGTGGCAGTGGCCTCCCCCGCCGGGGCAGCGCGGCAGGAGCCCGGTGACACCGGTGACAGCCCCGTTCCCCCCCCCCCGGCACCCCCGGCCCCGCTCACCCAGGCCCGGCGGCCGCGTCCCGCATCGACCCGGAAGCAGCTCGGCGGCAGCCAAATATCACGTGACTGAGCGCGGTCACATGGACAGGGGGCCGACCGGCGGAGGCGTCCCGGTTGCTATGGAGACGGAGACTCCATAGGGGCAACAACATCTGACGTCACCTAACCGCATCGTGACGTCAGGCAGGGATGCAGGAGGGTGACGACATGATGCCCGCACCCCCTATGGCTCCCAGCCCACCCAGTGCCCCATCACCACCCGCACGGCTGCACACTGGTACCCGAAGGATGCACAGGGGTAAATGATGCTAGCTCCCAATGTGATGACGGCCTGTGAGCATCCTTCTTAAGGCAGAGCTCGTTATTTATCTGCCCTATGCCCTCTGCGGTGGCACCTTTCCTGCAGTGGCTGGTCACGACTTTAGGAGGAGGGAGGATACCACGACCTCAGGAGGATAAATCATGCAGGGAATAAGGACCAATCTGCCTAGCAACAAGCCTGCCGGGTTCACCATCCCCATCCTTACATTAGAAGCATCAGAAACTGCCCAAAACGTGGCCTCTCCTTCCTGCAGTTTGGAGGAGAGCTGCATCAGTCATGGATGAATAGCTGCAGCACATCTGCACGCTCTCCCCAGCCTGTAACATCATCGGGACAACCTCATCCTGTTACTTACACACCCTGATTTATGCACAACCCATCCAGGCAGCAGCATACAATGGCAGCATTGTGGGTGCTACCCAGAAAAGTGCTCAGCACCAGCTCCATGGTGTGTATGTGAGAGACTGGTTTAGCTCCTGCTCTGCCATGCTGCCTCCCTTTGCACTGACTCACGCGCACAGATTTACAGCCAGGAGTCAGACAGCTCATGCTAGGTCAAGGAGGCAATTCTTCTGTGAACCCCACAGCTACAGCAGCAAAAAACCTCCATCCCATGAAGCAAAGCAAGCCTCAGGCAGACCACATTAGCCCCAGCTGCAAAGTTAAAAGCTGCATTAGGCTTAAAAGTGCCCCAATGTTACCACCCCTAAAATTCAGCAACTCTGTCTCCTATTCCTGCTTCTCCTTGGTGCTGGGACTTGGTTCACTCACAGTATATGTCTTCAAGACACTGGTAGGGAAAGTCTGAATTCCCAACATCGCCTGATGCAGGATTATGAAAGATTCACATTGCTGCTGCGCACCCCAGGGCAAACTCCACCATTGCCACTATGGGAAAGGGGTCAGGGTTTTCAGGTGGCACAGTCCAAATCACACCCACTCTCTCCTTGTAATTCTGCTGTGCGGCACCATATCATCCCCAGACTCCTTGCAGCAGAGCACTGGCAGCCCAAGCTGTCAAGTGCTGAAATATATGCATGGCTTTCACAGGCCTGACTTCCCTTAAGCAGAGAGAAAAACACTTTGGTGTTCTTTCTTATTACCCTGTTGACACAACATTGGTTTTATTTTGCTCCTATGCGGGCCAGCACAGATGAACACTGCCTTGCTAATGCTCCATAAAACCCCATCCACCTGCATGCTCTGAATGGCTTATTTGATTCTTTTAATACATTCCGGAGAGAGCTTTGTCTCCATTTGGTTTTCCTTCCCCCACTACTTCTCGTATCTGTTTCAGTGAGATAAAGAACTCCATCGCATTCAGAGGCTACACTCTTTTACTAACAATCCTCATGTTTTTTGCACAGCTTACGTATGCTATTCAGTTGCTAGAAGGCAGACAGAGCATACTTTAGCTGGTAACTGGCACCAGCAGGCTACGTTCTGGTTTGAAATACATTTCAATTGCTGCTTTCTATAGTTACAGATCAACTGGATAGAAGAGATGTCCGTGTTAACCTCCGTTGGGTCAGTGCTGCAAGTGTGAGAAAGTGACCGGTGTATCCCCTGGCCTGCTTTAAAGACCATTCCAGCAGGGACTGGACAAGCCAGGAATTGTTAACACAATATAGTCTTTCACCTCTAGGGGCCAGTTTGAATTCAGCCCAAGCTAGGGCTGATTGAATGTGCTTATCATCTGTTGGCTGTCTCATTGTCCAAGTGAACTAAGTCTGATGGGTCTCAAACTACATCCCCCCCCCCCCCCCCCCCCCCCAGCAGACAGGTATCCACTTGCTGAAGCTTTTTCTACCATTGGCCATCGTGGGTGACCCTTCCTTGGCAGACTCCACTCTTTCCCACCACCACCTCCCCCCAGGACTCAAGAGGCCACGGGAACCAGTTCCCTCTTTACTTGCTTCCTCCCTGTCTGGCTGTGCAGGAGATGCCAAAGGTGGTGTTCAGCAGTGCTGGAGCTGGTTCACACCCATGGAACCGGTGCCACTTAAGAAGCATTCACCCCATGGTGGGTGGCAGAGCACCCCAAATCCAAATCCATTGTTTTCAGGCTTTTAGAGAAGTAAAAAACATCCTCAATATCTGAAAAAGTCCCATCATAATCCTTCCCTCATCACTCATGCTTCTAATGTACCACGTCACCCGCTCTCAAGGGGGGGCACCTACCAGGGTCCAAGCAGCTTCATGGGTTCCTACATACTGAGGGCAGCAGGGAACCACTGTTAACATCCAGAACACAAGCCACAGACTCCCCTGATTTCATTCCCATCTGATCTGGAGCAGCTCTTTCAGGCACAACAATATGCAGGCACCCTTGAAAAATTACCTGAGACGGAGAATCAAACACAGGCCATGCAAAATCAGTTCGTTTCTCACTACCTTAATGAGGGAAAATAAATAACGATAATAAAAAGGCAGGATTCTAATCGGAATGGGGCACCTAAACCCAATTACTTCCTAACCCACACTAATAGCGTTCGACAGGTCTTGCTGTGCCCAGGGAAGCAGCATCACGTCACACATGGGGACGCAAACCCACTGAGATCACAGAATTCCTCCGGGGTGTACATGGTGATAATGGCAGCGGCAGAGGAAGGAGCATCTGCTGCTTATCTGTATAATTTTCCCTATATTTAGGTTTTAGGGGGAGGAGGAGGGAGAGGACTTGAAACATACGCAATTTTCTACTTCTTTTCTGTAGCTTTTTGATCCTTTCGCTTCTGGGTTTGGCAACTGCAACTTTCTTCATCCTTGGAGATTATTCTTCCATTCCTCAAAGAGACTTCAATTTCCTCACAAATCTCTTTTCCTTTCACTTAATTTAAACATTTATGGCCAATTTCATGATTTAATAATGAGAAATAAAATTGGAGATTTACTAAGTGTCGAGAGAAGACCTTTCATTTCATCTGGGGATTAAGAAGGGAGTTAAAGGTGTGAATCCTGTTAGCCATGCTGGCCTAACTTAAGCTCCAGCGTGCTAAAGAGCCCAATCCTGAGAGATACTGAGCGCTCTCTGCTCCCACTGAAGCCCTGTGGACTCAGAGCACGTTGCGGATTTGGGCCCCTTAAGACACAATGATGGTGCATAAATCTATGGCAGTGCTGTCTCATTGACGCTTTGCTAATAACTTTAAAGCCTGACATTCATTTTGCACTAGCGCCAGCAGATCAACTCCGAGCAGCTTCTCACCACACCATTAATTTAAGGTAACAATTCACCAAGATCTTTGGTTCCACATAAGCGCTTCCCAAATAATTTCTTCAGTGTCTTGTCAATTATCTGAGACTAATGCACCTTGAAGTTACCTTTTAGAGCAAACGTTACTCCATGGCCATAACTCTAAATTATTATCAGTAGCCAAAAAGGATAGGAACGATGCAGCTTTCAACTTGAGAACTTCAGGCTGCACGTTCAAACGCAGAAGGGAAATCAGTACATTGGTGCAGCCTGAAGACCTGCTGGATTTCCATAATTTGGCAATTGCTAGGCATGTCCATAGGACCAAATGGACCTTGAGCCTTTTATTCATTTGATTTCATTTTCTGGATGACTACTATTAGATAAAGGCAGCTTTCTCAGGTACCGCTGCAATGGCACTGGCCATCAAATTATGGCTGCAAATCAAATCTCACACACTCAGGGCTAGGCTCAGCTGGCTGCTGTCTCGTCCTCTCCATCGTGACGTGGATTCTCTCCCATCTCACACGTTGGGAAGTGCAGCACCATGGCAGGCTACTCCCTGACCCAGCCTGAGCAGCAAGAAGGACAAACCTGGGCATTGGTTATGCCCACCGCCCTTCTCCATTTGACTCTGGGTCTGTCCCATCTGCTGCACCATTCAGGGCACATCTCATTTTGGACCATGATTTCCATTCTGTCAGACAAAAAGGACACCAGCAGACAGAAATGAATCCAGACATGAGAATGGCTATGTCTTCCTCTGCCAAATGCTCTGGATTCATAACTAGTTGCTATGATCAGACAGAAGTGCCACTGCTGTCTGACTTTGGAATGGGACTTTGGCTGGGAGAACAGGACAAAACAGAGTGAGAAATGTCTCTTCCCGTCTTGTGTGTGCAACAGCTCCATTACAGGTCTGGATCTCACTCGGAGAATGATGATGCCTGAGCATGGAGGCTGCCAGCATTCATAATAATTAACTATTAATGCTAGCAAACACTTGGCAAATCTCCACCTGTTTTCATCCAGAGCTCTCAGAGCCCTTTGCAAACATGAACAGATTAAACTTTGCCAGACCCCCTCGAGTCCTACCCATTAATCCAAAGAATTTCCTCCGCTTCTATTCTCTGACAGGGTATTTAGTAAACATGGTGAGGCTGGGAAGCACTCAGCTCATCCCCATTTTACAATGCTCAGGGTGGTAAAGTGACATTCCTAAGCGCTGCCGGTGCAGCAGTAATGGGCAGCTGTGGCCTCCCACTCTGCAGGCAGCACCTCAAACCCTGCACCATCCTTCCTCCACTTGGCATGTCTTCATCCCTATCTCACTGTCAAGACAGAGCAAGCAGGAAAGGGATGCAGGCTAAGCCCAAAGCCTGACGTGGATCAGCAAGCTGGTAGAGCGATAACTCTACTGCTGTTCTTGCTGCCGGGATGCAACTACCGTCACAGACAGAAGTAACTGTGAGCAGAGTGGCCCAGCCAGAGCATAGCATCCTCTACGAGACCATCTCCCACTGTGCTTGCTATGGCTTGGTGGCACTTTTGCCACCCAGTTTTGCCATCCTTGCTACTGCTTTCTGACAGCTCTTTGTGGCCATGAACTGGTCCAAAAGTAAACTGAAAGAAAAGGGGCTTCATTCCAGCATAATGATGCTCACTTGAAACATAATGTGCACATTGGGGAGTTATAATGAAACAGCTTGGTCATCGTCACTAATTGTGTCTGCTAAACCAGCAGGCTTCCTCCACAAAGACACTCACCTTACAAACCTCTGTTTTTATGTTTGAAGTCTAGCTTCAAAAGGGAATACCCATCCATTTGACCCAGCCACATGGCCAGCAGGGTGCTGGGGCTATTTGAAACAGCCAGCAAACCAACATTCCTCACAGAAGAGAGCAACGTGGCCCACAGGACCTCAGAGCGCAGACACTTGGTATCCTCCTAATGTCTGGCTCCCTACCACGTCATGACCTCCATTTCAGCTGTCTAAGGGCTAAAGATATCGTGTCGGATCAATGGCTTGGGAATAAAACCAGAGGCTGTGTGTTCACCTCCTTGTCCCAGTTTAGTTCAGCAAGCAATAATCAGAGCGTTCTCTACAGCTAACACGCCAGGGTATTTACTATAGACTCTGGAAGAACAATCAGGTTTAGGTAGGCAGCTCAGACATCTTAGTGCTCACCTGGGAATAAGAGGTCTTTTTTCTTTTCCTCCCCTAGCTCTTTCTCCTCAGCTGCATTCACTGTTGGCTTCAAAATAAACAGCTTTAAATCTGAGCTCAGCAAGAGCTAAGCCTGAAAAGCCACAAGATGATATTCATGAGCATTTCCTGGGAGTTCAGGCAAAAGCCAAGCCAGGACCTTTTTGCTGAGCCTGAGCAGCATGAGGAGCAGTATTTGGAGGATGAACAGAGAAAGGTGTTTGGAAGGCAGAAACAGAGGGAAACACCAAAGAGAACAGGTTTCAAAATGCATGGGTCTCACCCATACTGCTCTAAATTGCCTTCTCCTCGCCAAGGTCAGTGAAATTCCCCCTTACCTCAGTTAACACTTTGTCCCAAACAAAGCAGCAAGTCCTCTCTGCTCTCCATGCTGCTCACCAATTGGGATTTCTAGCAGCGCCTTTGGACCAGCTCCAGAGCAGGCATAGCCCAGCACAGCTCCTTATTGGAGATAGGGATGCGATCCCATGGGATTCCTAACCAGCCATAAGAAGAACCTTTGTCTGCCTGGAGCAGCCCTTCTCACTGCATTTACACTCCAACAGATATTTTCTCTCCATTGTACCCTAAGGTCAATCCCTGAGACACCAAAACCACAAGCACCACAATAAATACAACAGAAAGGATTACTCTGTCCAAATTGACTAAAGCACAAAAAATACTGTTCCAAAACAGCCTAAGTCAAGAAACAAGAAATGTTAGGTCTTTCTGCTGTAATAGACCCCCATTTATCACACTGAGAAGGGTACTTTTTAAAGGCAAATGGCCAACTAGCCCCTTTGATACATGGAGATGCTTCAAGATAGGTATGACATAGAAACCCTAGGCAGAAGCTATGTACTGGCTAATCTGACAGTTATCTCCTTTACAGCCAACTACTGTCATTTCAGCCTCTGCAAACTGCCAGCTACATTGATAACTGCAGAGCTAAACAGCAGAGGAGAAAGTCTTTGTTAATTAAGCCAGCTCCCTTCATTTTCTTACTGATCTGGCCTCAGCAGAGCTTTCGGAGATCTGCTGTTGTGTGGCCCTTTGTGCTGGCGATGAACTGCAGCACACCCCCCCTTAAGGCATCTGCACATTGGTGGCAAGGCAGGCGATCCTCATCTGCTGGCTGGAATGCTTTCTGGGATGAAATGTTGCAGTCCTGCCACAAATCAGCCTATTAACTCGGCTGGAGCACAGCAGATTCCCCCTTGGAGGGGAAAAAACCCCTCCCTGAAGGATGCATAAACCTGCCCATTGTCCGATCCAGCTGATAACAAGGCTATTTTCCCAGTGTGGTATCAACTTCCAGAGGAGCCTATTTATACTGAATTCATCAGTGCTACTTTGTACCCAGAAGAGTTCAGCTCTGTGTTTTCAATCAGTTAGTGGCCATCAAACTCCTAATGGGGTTTCTGGAACTGTGGGTGCTTTATCCTCTGTTCAGCAGGCGTTTCAGGATGCTGAGCTGTTGCTCTAACTCCGTTCAAGCTGCAGCTCCTCATTTTTAGGCATATATATATATATATGTATGCATGTATGTATACCCTCATGGTTAGCTATTGAGCAAGGAGGGACAAAGCTCAGCACACTTGCAAGTGTCAAGTGTGAGCCCAGACTGACTTTTTACCATTTCTGATGGCACTTTGCAGTTCCTTTTGCAGGTCACTGGCCTGATTCTGCCTCCACTTACGCCTCTAAGCCATTGGGCTCTTTCATTTGGGTTGGAGAGGTGCCTCACTGGCAGGCTCTACTCAGAGCCATATAGTCAAAGCCACTACAGGAGGTATCATCACCTTCATTGGCTACACAAGTGATGTAGAAGAAAGAAATACGTACCTTGCAAGTACTTAATCTCACAGCTAAACGAAACTCACTGATCACTTTTCATAGCCAAATCGTGACAGCTTCACCCCAAGCCTAAACAAGGAGCAGTCCACCTTTGCTCCTTTACTCTTTGATAAGCTTAGAAACCAGTCACCATCCAGCCTTCACCAAGCAGATCTTGCCTACAGGTGCTTTCCTTTTCCCAGTGGATGTCTTTGTCATTCAGAGTTGTCACCCATCAAAACCAGTTAATCACACTGCTGTGTCTAAGCCCAGTTACCCTGTGCCCAGGGCTGCAGTTACCAGTGTTGAAGGTATCACCAGCAGCTTACATGACTGCTGGGATACAGAAAGCATCTGGAAGGGGGGTGTTAACTCAGGATCAGTGCAAGAAAAGCAAAGCAAAACAACATCACTTCCCTTTGCCTCCACCTTTTGGGTCACTTACCTGGTGAGGCACTTAGGGCTCAAGGAAAGAAGTGGACATGGCAGGGCAGAAGCAGAGAAGGTTTCTGTGGAATTGAAATGGTTAAAAAGATTCCTACCTCAGGACTACGAAGGTCCAAAGGGTTAAAGCTGTTTTATACAAAGGGTTAAATCTATTTTATACAAAGGGTTAAACCTATTCTATAGCTCACCATCTTTCTCTGCTAAGTCCTGCGGGCTCTCATAGTTCACAGAGCAACTCTTTCCTTTTTCATGTATGCCACTCAGTGCAGTGAGTGCCCTCAGTAACTAGCCCAAAACTTGTTAATACCTTCACCCATGCGACCTCCAGGGAGAAAATAGGTTTTTATCATTAGCTGCAAATGGAACTGCCTGGAGCACCATCACAAACATGGGGTTTAGCGCACAGGGAGAGATCTCAGGCCTTTTAGTTTGGAACCTGCCAAAGTGCTGTCGGCCCAGAATTGGCTGTCATTGCAGGGACAAACGTGAGGCCTCAGCCCCTGAAGAGAGGGGGAAGCAAGAGGATCAAAGAAAATGGTTACAGGGGATAAAGCGAAGTAGTGCATTTTAATTGATCTAATCTTTGGCTCCCGGGGGAATTTGCAGAGATATCTTACTAGAATTACTCGAGTTTTATCAGGAGATGACAATACTGGGAAAGTGCCTTTTGGACAGTGAACCACTCCAGATCTTGAACTGCATTAGCATTGGAACCGGCTGAGCAAAAGAGCTCCCACAATAGTTTCAAAGATGAGAGCAAGAACTGAAGAGGGAGAGAACATGGGAGATATAAACCCACCTGGGCACACAGAAGTATGTGAGCACAAACCCAGGCATATGTGTAATGCTGCCTGCTCTGGGTCCCTCCTGTCTAAAACCTGTAGGCATCGACCAGGGAGCAGGAATATACAGGACCAGGGAGAAAAGGCATCCAAATGACAGCACCTTCTATCCATCCACTCCTCTTCTGAGTGCAAACATTCTGAACATTAAAGAAGACAGAAGAGGGCAAGAGGGGCATGAAAAACATCTCCTTAAAATACAGGCCCAGATATAAAATACCATATGGGTGGCACAAACGAACAGGAGAGCTGAAAGGAAAAGACAGTGAGAAACCAGGTGGTCTCTCATAATCTCTTTCCTGACGTAATCTGTCTGAGCAGATGACTGCAAGATCTTTGGAGGAGCAGAGGAATAATGTCTGCCTCTGTCAAGATCCCGCTTTGTTCACTGCGGTGAAGGGGTGAGAAAACATCAGGTCTGATAAATGATTCATGGAGCCTTTTCTGCTGCTAATCTGTAAATGCATTTTAAAGAGAAGCTTCTTTTTGATGAAGGTATTCTGCTGCTCGTAAAAACATGTCAGCATTTAAAGACAACACAGGCACACTGTGATGCCTCTGCTGTTGCTGTCAGTGCTTTGAGAGCCCAAGTGCGGCTCCTTGCAGAGGGCAGGGATGGAGGGTTTGCTGACTTACCTCACCTGAGGATCTGCCCCCTCTCATCCCATGGCACTGGATCCTCGGGCTCTGGCAAAGCCTTACGTCATCTCATGCTTGCACCTTCACTGCAGATTTACAGATACTAAGGCCAGAAAGGACCTTTATGCACTTCTCTCATGACATCCTGCATAATAAGCTCTAATCCTCTCCTCCTGGTTACACGAGCACTCTCTGAGCATGCACATTTTACTGTCGCTGTGTGGCAGACACCTCTTTTCACATGCTCCTGGAAACAACAGAACAACTCTAACGCGCCCATCACCATGGCATCCTGTTCCCTGCACATCCTCTTCAGAAACATCTGCTGGAGTCAGGCTCCTGCCCGTGGTAACATGAGGGATTTGACTTGCTGTACCTAACCCTCAGACCCTGGTCAACTGGGATCCAACCGGCAGGTCTCAGAAGGCTGTAACTGATGTGGTCCACACTGCATGGAAACCTGGGCTCCCTGAGCAGACTGCACTGCTGTTAGTTGTGGGTTCTTTCACCCTTTACCACCGTATATCTTGAGCTTTCTTTCTGCCTTTTCTTTTTTGTTCTCCTGTTTCCATTCAGCTACAGATAACGGCAACACCACGGATGTGGACACACTCAGGCAGCAGAGACCTGCAACAGCCAAAGCACTGCTTCCCTTTCAGCTGGGTTTCTTCCTGAGCAGACGAGCCTCAAACTGCCTCATGACTTTTGTGAGTGTGGACAGGGGAGGAAAGAGAAAAAAAGGCATGATTATACAAGGACATCTTTTATTTCAGTACATTCAAGACAAAAAGAAAAGAAAACAATTCAAGAACAGGATGTACCTTCACTCAAGGCTTTATCTCCCCTGCCTCTCTCCATTGTCGTCTCTTTCCTTCTACAATCAGAAATTGCATAGAATTTGTTTTTCAATCAGAAAATTAAATTTGTCAATGTAAAACCCACGTCTGTACCAAGCAGAGGGTGAGCTGCTGCTGTTGCTAGGGAAGTAAATATTTTTCCTTACATCACATCCCAGGCTAATGGTTATCTCGAATGCTGTGAGGCATTGCTGCTGCTAGACATGGGCTGCAAGTCACCCCCAAGGCTGAGGGTGCTCCGTGGGTCACGGACAAGGGGAGCTCAGTCGCTTGTTTGGGGCTGTGGATGCTTTGAGGAGCGACAGTGGGCAGCAAATATCACCTCCCTTATGGCAGGAAGGTCCCTCCTCACCTTCCTCAAAAGGCTCCCCCCGCCCGATCCCAAAAGCAGGAAGGAAAAAGCGAAAGATAACCCCAGAACTAAACGAAAGACACAGAACCCCTGAAATTCCAGGCGTTTCAAGGCCTCTTTAAGTTCACTGTGTTGGTTGGTTGGTTTTTGGCATCTTAATATATATATATCTATGTATATATATATTTATATATATATTTATGCATTTTAAACAACTCCTCAGATGGACTCTCACTAAAAGCTGCTTCTCACGGGGGGCTTGTCCCATCCCATCCCATCCTTCCCTTCCTCCCTCAGTCCATCCGACAAACTCTGAAAAGGAAGATTTCAGCACCTGAAACCCGGTGCCTCGCAGACTAGGTCCTGACGTACCCAAAATAAACCGAACAAAAGAATAACTCCTCCCTTCCCATCCCTTACCCACATCAAATAAAAAGACACCCCCCTCCCTGCCCTTTGAGAACATCCCCTGGTAAGTCGATGTGATGGAGAGACAGCGCCAGCATCCTTTCTCCCGGCCTGGGGTGGAGAACATTAATGAACCACTCATGCCCCTGTATGGGCAACATCTGCTACACCAGTTACCCACCACGTCCATCCTTCCCATCTCGGGGCCGCACGGTGGCACGGAGACAACTGCTGGGGACAGGCCAGGCAGAGGACCTCGCTCCTGCTGCATCAGCCCTTTCAGCGGTACACGCGTCCTCTCGGACACCTAAACCAAAGCTGACCCTCTGGACAGGCCTGCGCATCAGCCCAAAGGTCCACCTTGCTCTGGAGAAGCTGGGTAACTGCTTTGAGTTTAAAAACGAGTTGACATTGTACAAGTCCATGTTCTGTAAAATGGAACAGGACCCCCTCGTCCCACCCCAACGCCCCCTGCCCCAGCGTTACTCAGGCTCGCTGCTGTTGGTGGTCTTCTCCCACTCCAAGCTCTCCTCGCTCTGTGCGGGCGAGCCCGCAGACGGCCGTGCCCGGAGACCCTGAAACCTGCGGCACTCGGGGCACACGCGGATGTGCGTGCACCCTCGGGCGACCAGGGCGGCTTCTTGAGCCAGTCTTTGTGCCAGGGGGTCTGGCTCTCCCCCACTGCACAGCTTCCCATTGCTGAGCGTGGTTGTGCTGCGGGCTCGGCGCTCCTCCGGGAGAATGGGGCGAGTCCGTACCATTCCCCCTCGCCTCCGACGAGGGTGGAAACTGTCCTTGCAGAGGATGATGTTGCGCAGCTCCGTCACCATTTCTTGGCACACCGACACCTGGAAGGCAGACCCGAGACATACTGCTCACATAAGTAAGCTGCAAGCCCCAGCAGTGCTGCGTCTGCTCTGGATTCGGATGCCAAAGCGCTACGGCCTCGGGCCTTAATCTGACCACTGGGCTTCCAACATCAGTGCTCAGACATTTATACTTGATTTAGCCCAATAGGTTCCACCTCTTGTCAGAGACGCTCCTGTGTTCTGGCTCCCCAAATCAACATGAGACCCAGACTTACTGCAGGTAGAAACTGTCAAGTGATCCCTTCTTTAGGAAAGGTGCTTGGACATTGTACGCATCCTTGTTCCCTTCAAAAGCCCTTGGAGCATCCCATAGCCTCAATCTTAGTAGGAATTACTGCATATTAGACCCTGGCCAACGGACCTAGCCTTACCCTGTGTTTGAAGTCTCATTAAACTAGGAACGCTTATCTCAGCCTTACTAGCTCCAGAGCACTGCGCTGCTGAGCACCCCGCAGGTAACAGTAAACATACACTATCCCATCAGAACACTTTCAGGCCCTACCTCTGATTGTTCAGAGTGGCGAAGGCTCCACAAAAATTCCAGCATTGCCATAAAAATTGCTACGATTAAGCCACAGATGAGCACCACAAAGATTCCACCGATGTTCTCCATTCCCAGGCCTAAAATAAAGCAGAAGGGACAATGCTGTGAGAGGCAGGTACAACATAAATTGCAGGCATCTTTGCTGGCATTGCATATCCCCAGCCAGGGATCAAAACCACATAGCCAGCACTGTCCTATTAATAGCTAACCGCATGACTCAGATGGCAACCTGAGTGACTTGCAATAAGTGCAGGATCGAAGATGCATTCTCAGAAATGATGATTTTGCAGATAAACAGCAAGTACATTGGTGGGAAGTACAAAGCAATTTGTGGACAAACCGAAAACAAGAGGAAAAATGAAAGATCAATCGGGCACAATTATTCACCCAGCTCTAGTTACTTTGAACTTCGCAAAGGAAGATGAGCCGTGCTAAAGAAGCAGAGATGAAGACAAGAAAGGGCTTTAAAGGAAGCTGGCATCAAGAAAAGCTCCTTTGATTGCACTACAAAGTGCTGGTGAAAAACGATTACAGCTGCTTCTGCTGCAGTAGCAAGGAGAGGTTCCAAACAAGACCAGGACCCAACACTGTTTCACACTATATGGTGACCAAATGGGGTCCCTGGCACCCAGTGGTACCTGGTTGTGCGGTTGGGTGCTCTCTGCTTAGCACTTTCTGGACCCTAAGGAGGAAACAGTCCCTTCCATGGGGCTGGGGTGACAGAGCCTCAGAGAAACAGCTCTTCTGTGCTTATTGGGTTTGGGTCTCAAGTGGTCTGGGCCCCTGATTCAACCGATCACTAAAAAGCGTGTGGTGCTTTGCAGCGAGGTGACTGTATGAGGCCATTACTCTACAAAAACATCTATGAAAGTCTGCATCTCCCCTCTGTAGCACTAAATCAAAGTGTAAGAATCAATGATTTATTGACTTCATCTCTGTGTGGCTTTTAGACATAGAATCTCGCCAAAATCCTTGTAAATCGCTGACCTGTTTTGTTCTAAAACTTAGGAGGCCACATTTCTCCCTCCTCCTCCGTCATCCTCCTGGCACTGCCTCCAGAGCAATCTGGCAGCTCTGTAAATCAGCCCTTTGCAGGGCTGTTCCCAATAGGACAGCAATTGCGGGGCAGAAAACACAACCCATATTCAGAGTTTAGACCCAAGATAAAGACCATCCTCCCCACCCAGCGGTACTCAACTTGAATTTAGGGCCAGTACCTCTCTCTATATCCTTCTATAATCCTAACCAGGTGCCACCACAGACACCCATTCACAAGCTCACTGAGAGGTACCTCCTTCTTCCATATACACCTAGCAGCAGGCTGCAGCCTTCCTCATTTCCCAGAGTGAGGAAGTGAGCTATAACACAAAACAGCAGGAAAACTTGCCCAAGGTCACAAAGTGTACTGGGCAATACCAGAAGCAGCCCAGGACCCTGCTTCCCAGTGACCCCCTTTCAACGCTACCTCAAAACAGAGCACACACTAGATTCCACTTCAGAGTTGGAACACCTCCACCTGCTGCAATGTCAAGCAAAGACAAGAGCTACCATGGACCAGGCTTGGCTCTCCATCTCTGCACTAGAGAGGTCAGAAGACTGCCCATTCAATGGGGGGGACCTGCTGGCCTCCCAGCAAACACTTGCTGTGGAAAGGGTGAGTGCCAACACTAAAACATGCAGCAACTGCATTAAGCTGGCAACTGCTCTCACGCTGGGACATCAGCCTAATGTGGTAGCTTTGATGCAAATTTGCATAGCATTGCAAAAGAATTTGCTCCTCAGTTTACAGATGTACTAATGAAGCCTTTGCGTCCCTTCCCTTGGCTGTTTAAAAGGCGCTTTCACTTGGAGCCATTAACCAGCGGGCCTGTGGTGGATATCCATCTCCCTTGAAGGAACCCAGGATTTTGGTCTGATCCCTTTAGCCATCCATTTTCCCAGACATTCATTAGAAACTAATTTCCCCTCCATATGCCTCCAATATTTGTCATTTGGTTGTTCTCGCTATCTCTGCCCCAGGCAAAAACACACAGCATGAGGCACAGCAGAGCTGTTTGGCTCTCTCCTTGAATTGTGACGGAATCTCAGGTCAGCACAAGGGGAAAAAGTACTTCTCAGGCAGAAAACCTGGCAGCACTCGTGTGCAGATGGACATTCAGCCTTACGCTGCTGGCAAGGATGCTTCGACTGCTTTGTCCTTCCAGCATGCATGTGGCTTACCTTTGGCTCTGTGGTCCTCCTCTTTGGGGCACTTGCCTCCTTCCCACCACTTCCTCTTGAGGATTTCCAACCGGTTGTTCTCTTGCAACTGGAGAATGGCCAGGTCAAACTCATCACGAAACACAGAGCCTGCAACACCAAGAAGTAGGTGGTAAGGCACCATCTCAGCCAGCCTTCCTCCCCACTCATCCCCGTCACGATGCCCTGCCAGTGTGCCCAGGTACAAAAGCTCATCTCTGGATGGTTTGGAAGGGACTTCAGTTCATGTAAGCCCTTGAAACTTGCAGCCAGCCTCTCTGCTGGGACTGTCATCTGGTTCATCCCTCATTCAGATGGCAAATTCACCTGCTCACCAAGACCCGTTTAAAGAGGTCCATTATAAGGGAGAGCTTTGGCTTCAGGGGCAGGGTCTGCAGTATCACACTGCTGCTCCTCCAGACCACCGAGGTCCCTTCTCCTGTCAGCCTGCCTCCAGCTTAACCTCGCTCTAACACCTCTTCCCTCAAACCGCTGCACTGCAACAGCAGCAGGTTCACCCTACAGTGCAAGCCCAAAGGTTCACGGTAGAGGAGGCTCACTTCTGTGCTCAGCACCGAGCTGTACTGCAGCCAGGATGATGATCCCAAAGAAGGGCCGTGGGAAAGACCCCAGTTCTCCCAGTAACTCTGCACTATTGTCCCAGCCAGCAGCTTTTCTGCCTTTCTTATCTGCTACAGTTTCACTGTTTAACAAGACAATGTGAGAACAAATTTAGTCCTGAAAGTAAGGATTTGTACTCAGGATCAGGTTACTGTGACTTTACAAGCTTATGCATGTTAGCTCAACTATAGCCATCGCTTGAGTGACAGTTCTGATGCAATTCACCTTAGCTTTGTATTGCTAAGTGCAGGTGCTTAAAGGTCAGGAACAAGGCTCCCCAAGCCTGTGAGTGGCTGAAACAACAACCCATCTCTTGGAATAACAACCACTGCATCCTTTCTTTGTGCTGCCCTGGGAGATGATGTTCTCTTGCTATCTCTCACATTTAAAAGACAAAACCCCTGCATTTGTTAAACCTGATTATTGAGACAGTCACTGAATCGCCCAATTCTCTGTCCTGGAGCTCAAAGAACCACCAGCTGAAAACAAGAGTTGCAGCAACACTACTTTTACAGCACTTAGATAAAACCAGGAGCACAGAATGAGTCAAAAATCACCGGTTCAAAGGGGAAGCAGTCAGAAAAGAGCATATACGCAGAAAATAAGCAGCAATTTTGACACATCTTTCACATTCATTATTTAAAGAGCCGCAGTCGCGTGTCACATGGCTCTGGATCAGAGCAGGGTCTCGCACATCTGTTGGGCAATCGCAATGTATTTCATTTTCCTCCCGAGGTAGAAAACGACCCTGGGCAGAGCTGTGAGACGTGACTTTGGCTTCAGAGCCGGTTCAGCCTTTCAAACGCTCCGGTCCTCTGCCGACAGCTGAGAAGGACTAGAATTTGTCTTCACTGCCTACCGACGGGCATGCCAATCCCGTAGCCCTTGGTGTCCAGAAGGCCCCCGACCTGCGTGAGGTTGCAATTGCGCTGACGATAATACTCGTTCATGGTGGACTCCAGCAGGAAGGCGTAATTGGAGTTCAGCACGCGCGCGATCCCTTCCTCCGTGCTCTTCACGAAGACGCTGGGCTGCTTGGAGTACATGTAGTTCCACATCCGCTGGTACGTCTGGTAGCGGGAGTTCTGCAGGAGAAAGGGAGCAGCTGAGGTAGGAGCATCTTGCTGCGACATAAACCCCACTGTAGAAAGGACAAAGATCTGGTGCCAGATTCCAGAAGGCTTTAGATGCCCAACCTCCGCTGATTTCAATGAAAGTTAGAGGCCCAAATATCTTGGTGGATTTGAGGCTTTGTTGCCAAAGCTGGGCATGAAATGCATACCTAATTCCAATGCGTTCCAGCAAAGCTCTCTGCATATTTCAGTCTTAGAAAAAGACATAGTTTCCATAACAGTCAAAAAAGCCAGAAGAAGAAATAGCTTGATTTAAACCACCAAATGCTCCCTGTACAGCTCTCATCCTATTGTCCGTCACTGGAACTTTGGGCTTAACATGTCACCAGCATCAGAGCCAGACACCATCACCTTGAGAAACGCTCTAAGGATGGGTGCAGCACCAAAGCAGTTTGTTGCTCCCTGAATCCAGATTTTGGCTCACCCCCTTGTGAGGCAAATCGAAGTACCTGCTTAAGAGAATTGGAGCCTTTTTACTGACTAGAGTAAACTCAAGCTCAACCAGTCCCGGATCCTCAGACTTTGCTGGTGGTTGATTGAGAGAAGAGCTAATGACTGTTAACCTCTCTTGCCTGTGCTGAACGAAGAGTGAAACTTGCTGGCACAGAAACTGAGGATAAACACACTCTGGTCTACATAAGGAGCTTCTGAATTTGCCCCTTTCCCCCTGCATTTCTGCAGCACACAGAACCTCTTACGCCACCTCCCCTCTCATCCAAGAGGGGTACATGACATTAGGGCACCTCCTGCCATTGCACTCATTTTCTGTGGCTGGTGAATGATGCTGGAGAGCCTCAGGGAATCTGCTGCTGACCGTTACCATCCTCATCCATCCAGCTCTGTCCCCCAGGTGCAGCCACTTGGGCAAGGGACAGGCAAACAGAGACTGTGTTCCCGGTTCACTGCACCTTTAAACCTTAATCCTGTGTGTTAGTGTCAGGGGAAACGGCTGCCAGGACAGGTTACAAGACAAGGTGCTCCAGCAGTGGATATACATCTCATGCAACCAGGAACTAAGGGCTGGTGAAGACAGCCTCAGCCATGCTGGCTTAATCCATCACTGTATTAGACCCACCGTTATTACACCAGAGGTAAATGGATCCCAACATAGTTTAAAGCACTGCGAATGGTACAAGAACACCTTTTGCTGATTCCTCCTCTGCTATCAGCAACTCCATCACCCTCAAGGCAGCACAGAGCCACAGACAGGATTTTAAACCAGAAAGCCTTCCTGAAAAGAGCTAAGCGAGTGCCTCGTACACAACCACCATGGTCACTTGGGCTCTGTTCAGCTCATTTCAGATATAATGTTCTGCTTAAAAGTAGCTTTTTGCCAAAGCCTTGGAGGGTGTAAAGCTGGGTTGAAAAGCTCAGGCTCACTTGAGAGATTTCTCAGGCTTCCAAATACAGTTCAGACTCAGAGAGGAGAAGAAAAAGCGAGAAAAGCTTTCTCTCCTCTTGGAATTTCAACAAGTAATAAATAAATAATCCTCAAGCAGCAATTTGTGCATTCAGAGCACAGCAGAGAGGATTCACTCCTTTATTTCCCTTCTGAACAGAGCAGGGAAGACAAAAATTACACTGGGCTAAATGGCTCGCTTTAGTTTGCATACACTTGCCTTTTCTCAGTGTCACTGACCACATGCAGACTTCCAGCACTCTGACACATACTGCCTGGGGCGTGCAAACATTGCTGCGCTTACCTAACCGGAGGTACTCTCATGCAAAAGCTAAGAGTACATCAAAAGCACATAAAGACCCATAGAAATTGGACTGCAAATGCTCATCTGCTGAAGACCCTGTTATAGCATACTGCGACACAGGGATGCGTACTGCTGTCTCACCCACTTGGTGACACTCCAAATGGTAAATTGCTTTCTATGCCCAAGCACCACGTCCAGGCATCAGCAGAGGTCCTGATCCTAGTCAACCAGCATCCCAAGAGCACACCAGGATGCTGTGTTACAGCATCCTGCATTCCCTATCCTCTGCCATGCATCCCCCACCATTCATCCCATCATCACCCACTGTGGCCAGGGGTCTCTCCAGAGGTCCCTCCTGTGCCAGAAGCAGGAATGACAACGTGGGGGCACATCCAAACGTGATTAAAGGGTGCCCTCTGCACCCCCTGCCCCAGTTAGCAAATGAACGGGGTTTACTTGGAAGAAGGTCATGCTGGACCCGCCGTGAATGGTGCCGTACTCGATGGCTGTCTGGTCAGCCAGGTCATCCACGGATTCGATGGGGACATCCATCCGCTGCACGGTGAGGAAGGCTGCCAGATTGGCTGTGTAGGAGGAGATGATGATCAAGGTGAACGCCCACCTAGGGAAAGCAGAAGCAAAGATGGTGAACGGAGATTCCCCGTGGACTGATCCCCATCCCCACCCTCCCACCACCCACACAGAGAAGCCTTCCTTAAGGGGAGGGCTGATCTTACCACACTCCACTGACGCAGCGGGTGGATAATGCTTGGGGGGCAATGGTGGAGCCTTGCTGCATGAATCCCCCGACTGGAAACCACAAGCTGTTGCCGAGAGAGTACTGATTCACGAGAAGATTGCATCTACCTTGTGAGCAGGGGTGGGGGCTGTACCACTCATACGGTGTCAACCTGAAAGGACAAGAAATGGGTAATTCCCTGGGAAATGGGGCACTTTGGAGAAAAGAAGCCAAAACAAGAAAGAAGAGCTGTGAAAAACCCTAACTCTCCCCGAGGCAGATATTTCTGAGGAGGAAACTCTTTGCTGTCAATGGATGCCCAAGGCTCAGCGCAGTGTGAAATGCTCGCTTTAAGATTCAGAAGCCAGAGGCTTTCTTGTTAAGATTTGCAAGAGTTTCTAAAGGCTCTGCTGAAAACCTGGGCATGGGCTGTGGGGAGGCTGGAGCCCTATGTGCAAACCCACAGCGCAGACATCCACAACCATCATTGCAGGTGCGCGCAGACCCGATGTGGAACTGAAATCAAACACCTTCGGCTGCGCTCCCGGCTGCAGAATGAGCATCGACGGGAAGTTCCAAAGGGAAGTGTGTGAGACCTGAATGCATGACACCATCAACACAAAGAACTGTATCGGTGCAGGTGGTTGCTCTGAGAAGGTCTGACTGCCCCAGCGAGGTCTAGGTCCCAGTTTGAAGCCAAGTGCTGGTGTTTCAAAGCATCACATGCTTTCAGTGCTCACAGGGACAGGACAGAGGTGGCAATCTGAAATAACTGACAGCCTGTCACTGAAGTGATGGCAGCCTAGCTCTCTTTTTGTGCTGTTTCCAATCCTCGGTTCCCCGGTTGCTAAGAAAGACTTCTAATTCCTATGCTGCATTTCATTATATTGCTAATGGTTAACAAAGCTGGTGCCTGGGAGGGTCATTTTGGGGATGCTGCCAATACAGCTGCGTGGCTCTGCCAGCTTATACACCATTTAACCAAATGTGATGTTCAGTTTCCTTTCTGCATCTCCTACCTCACTGTGAAGCCACGTTATGTCTCTAAGACTTTCTAGGGTTGGAGCAAGCACTGGCAGTAAAACCCACTGCTCTAGGAGAGTCTGCTGCAATTCAGAGGGTCACAAGCTCCTTACTACTGAGCAAGGCAAACAACAGCATCCAAACCTCCATCTCCAGCAGGAAGCTGTGTAAAAGCACCTTTTTGGAGGATCATGTTTAAACCAAATGGAGGGGGTTAAAGAGGCACCAAATCTCAGCCTGCAGAGAGTGCTGGACCGCATTATTTGATGGTTTCTTCAGAACTATGTTTCTGGGGCTGTAATGGCATTCGAAGAAACCATTAAAACCTTGTCAGGATGACAACTTTAGCCATGCTAAGGGACTGTGTGACAGCACAGTTCCAATTTCTGTAATGAGAATTGGGTATTAACTGTGTCCCGAAAGAGCCGTCAAGTCCTGAGCGTGTCTTTGGTACACATAGCCAGGACATAGCTCAGTTCTGCCTGGAAAGGGATCACCCATCTATGCCACCAACCACAAGCAGTTTGTTAGGAGGACAGGGAAAACAGCAGCGGAGCACAGACCCTGGCCTTGGTGGGAGACACGCTGCAGACAAGCACACAGTGATTTATTTTAAGGCTGATTTAAATTAGTCATAGAGAAGTGGAACTGAGAGCTGTCAAGTGAGGCTCTGCACATCAACCAAGAGGCTGCTGAAAGATATTAATGAACTTTCCTTTTCTGTACGCATGGGGTTTTACAGGGCCACAGGAACCAAGCATCACTACCGGCACCTGGACTAGTATCTCTGACTCCATTTGCTGCTACCTGCCAGCCTCCTTCAAGGCAAGTAGTTGGTTTAGGTGTCACAGATCAAGCATTTACAGGGAGCAGCACCGTTTGCACAGCATCAGCCTTGCTTCCAAACCTCCTCCCACCCTTCCCATACAGCTCTCAGCACCGGCACGCACTGCTGTGGCCAAGAACACTCCTGAACCACAGCACGATGCTCCTGTCACAGCCATACCAGCGGTCATCCCGGTGGCCTGGGGGGGGTCCCCATGTCCCCCTGACCATCCCCTCACTATGATTCCCCCCCCCTTCCCCCCCGGGTCTGGGAGCATGACGCTAGATGGCACCGCGAGGAAGGAAAAGACACCAGCAGGCACATTACCGAGCAACCAAGAATAGGACACAGCTGACGGCCAGGTAGGCGAGCAGCATGAAGAGCCAGACGCCAGGGGAAAAGGGATCCAGGAATGAGAAATAGCCGGGTTTGCGGCCCTGGAAGGGAAACAGAAAGGAGTTTGCATTGTATTTCTACAAATCCCATAGCCGATGCTGACGATGGATGGGAGCAACAGAAGGGAAATGAACAGGGCTTTGCAAACACAAACAGGTCACAGTGAATGCATCCAACAACCAAGTCCTGCAGCATCTCCCTGTTGGAATTCGTGTCCTGAGGCTATTTTTTTTCACCATCTCAACTACTTTAATTCCTCCAGGTGAACTGATAGCTAAATCAGGACAATCACAGCGCTTTGCCCTCCTCATGGCTCTGCTGGATGTGCTGGACCGCATCCAGAGCCTAAGCAGGCTGCGCTCCCTCCCCTGGTAGAGCACGACTGGGCTCGGAGGTGGGAGGGATCCTTTGCACGAAGCAGAGTGGGGAGAAAATATTTTTGGGCAGGAAAAAGAACATAAAAAGAAGCGCTTGCAACATTTCTGGTTCTCTTTTTTTTGGGCCTCGGAATGTTTCTTCGCCACAAAACTCAATAAAATTATTACTTTTATCTCAGAGAATGCGGTATTTTTATCTCTGGGATGCGTCAGTTTCCTGGTTGTTCTCAGCAAACCACCTTTCCTTGAAAAGTAAGGCTCCGGCGCCAGAAAAAGCAAGTTGATCTTCGCTCAAAGCACCTTAAATCTGCACGAGGATGCTGCCTGCCACTGCTGAAAACTCATCAAATACAGCAGAACTTGGGCAAAAGCAGGATTCATTTCTAGAAGTTTCTTAACGGCTGAACACTTCCCACGTGGGTGAATGTGCTTCTCCCATCACCACCAGCTCTGCACATACAACACAGCCTCCTGCAGGGTGCAAAGAGCAGCACCAACTTACCTCCAAAGACGCTCAACACCGCCACAGGGGACAAGGGGAGATGTAAAGGGAGCCGCAGGTCTAAAGCGGTGCTCTGTTGCTCTCAGTGCAATGCAATTTACACCATCTTTGTGGAGCACAAAGTGCTTTGTTTCACTGTGCACCCCTGGCATGGCTCTCCCACCCTCAACGTTGCAAATATTCGGGCAATGCCCATGTACCTCGAGCATCTTCTTCCCTTCCCATCTCCTCGGAAAGCAACAGCGTATAAATCCCTGCATAAGGCTAAATATCCCAGCAACAGCATGTAAATCACAGCAAAGGGCTAAAGGCTTGCATTAACCTTGGGAGATTATGAGCCCTCAATTCACAGGAGCCTCTATCTTCTGCCCCAAACCACAGAGTCAGTCCTGGCATCCCAGAACCTCAAGGTCTATGGTTTCCCCAAGCACTTTCAACCAGGGAGCTGCCCACGAGTCAGAGCTCTTGCAAAGGCTTTTACTGTAAAATCAGAGGGGAAACAGTCTTTTATCACATCTTGGCCCCTTTTTCCTTCCCCAGACTCCCCCCAGACCAGCACTTTAAATCCCATTCCCATTAAAACACAGTTTTACTACTGAAGCATTCCGAATCTTATGCAAAACCTAAATTTCACAAGGTCTTGGTAGTTCTTCTAAAGACCAAGTTGTTGCTAAAAAAAGGCAACAGTTGTTGCTCAAAAATCTTCCTTTACTAAAGAATATCTAGTGATATTCTCAGCTGCAGCCACCAGCTGGGACTGTAGCATCTCAGAAAGCTTCTACAGGAAAGACCGTACCAGAACATCCTCTCCCTGTATCCTTAAGGACAAGATGAGTTTGGGATCTATGTTAGCAGTTTTCCCGAATCTGGCTTATTAAGTCTTTTAACAAATAGATGAGTTAAGGCTGAGCTGCCTCTTCTCTTCCAGCGCTGTTTACACACTCAAGAATGAAACAAGGCAATGGGAACCTGCAAGGTGTCAAGGGCACCATCTGCCCTCAGATGAGCAAATGGGAGCTTCTCGAGCAGAAGATGATTCCAGGTGGCTTATCCCTCCCCAGCATCCCAGAGCTGGCAGGAAACTCCCCGGCCCTGGCAATGCCTTGGCTGAGGCTCCCCTGTGAGATGCTCCTGTAACGAAGTTCATTTCTGTAATGAAGGCCTCGATGTCTTCTCTATGTTTCTGGGGCAGTTTGTCAATAAATTACACTCATTAAGGAAATTGTGTTGGAAGCTTTAATTCTCAGGCTTGGCACTGACTCTCTCCCGCAACTGTACAGTAGTAGTAGCTCTGGTTCTCTTCAGCTACAGTCATTTTCAGGCTGCTGCTGCATATTCTTTTCATTCACAGTTGTGGATAAGAATAAAGATATTCTGTTCCCACGGAGGGCACAAACTCTCTCTTATCTGTCTGTTTTGAACAGGGGAATGACAATATCTGGAGTCTGACAGATATTTTTAGCTGGTCCCAGTACAGCTTTGTTAATTGGAAGAGCTATTTTTCTTGGAATAGAAATGTTCAAAATGCCCAATAATTGATGAAGGCCTCCTGCAAATCCTCAGATGAAAGCAGCAGAGATTTATTTACCACCCTTGGTCATTGGAGATCTTCGTTTTCAGCCAGAGAGAACCAGTTTTCTGGGCAGATACAGGTGACCGAAGAGCCTGAATGTGCAGAACATCCAGGAAGAGGAGGGAAGTGGAGCTATACGGCATGGTCCTGGATTTGTCTGGGTTCAGGCCTCTAAGACACTTCACGGACTCCCTGCCTGCCAGATGGTTCACAACCAACAGGCCAATGTGTACCATGGCCCAGGGCATGCCTGGGGCCAGCAGTTGCTCCCATCCCTGCTTCAGTGAGGCAGAAGCTTGTTGGCAGAGCAGTATGGGTTGTCAGGAGAGGTGCTCAGCTCCTCTGCCTTGGCTGTCAAGCCTCCCCTGGCTTAATGAAAGGAGCTATTCATCCAGTCCTTCCCATTTCGTGTCTTCCGCAGCAATCAAGTAGAAACACTTTAAGCATCAGTTCACTTGGCCTAAATTCACCTATTCCAGTGTACTCACCAAACCTAACATTTTTCATAAGGACTTCAAGGGGCTGATGAGCCAGCATCGTGCGTGAGCCAGCCCCTTGTTCCCTGCCAAAGAGGCAGGTATGTGAGTAAAAGCATGTGTATGCTACAAATAAACCTGACTTTCACATCCCTCTGTGCAGAAATGGGCACCTGATTTCAGCCCTCTGCCAAGCAGAGTAACTGCTCAGGACTCATCCATCTCCTGCTTTCCATAGGTCCCACCAGCTGGTCAGAAAGGGGGCATAATAAAAAGCAAGCAAACCTTTTCCTTTAGCAGCCTACAGGTCAGAAAGCCCATTAGAGTCCCCGTGTTTGAAATCCATACTTGATTATATCACAACAGGTGAAATTGAGAAAAATGACAGCCCCATTTAAAGCTGACATATTTGGTTATGTGTGATAAGAGACACAGGCACCCTGGTGACTGAGGAGGAGAAAGGGGGGACAAATCACTTGCCACTGGAGTAACAAGTAAATGTCATCACACTGGGAGGAGACCAGGGTGTGGAGACAAGAGATGTATTTGTGGTTATTCATTAGGCTACACTTGAGCTGCGCTGTGATTAACGTGTGTCAGCTACAATTTTAGACATTGAAGAGATGTTTGTTGGGCTGGGGAAGGGAAGGGAGGAGATAGGAGCAGATGAGGCTGTCTTGCGCTGCTCTCCAAACCACATCCTTAAAGGAAAACCAGAGCAATTGGCTATCTTGCCTCTCCTTGTTAAATAAGTATCGGTTTCACAAGTTAATAGCTACACAGCTCTCACTCTTCCTCAAGCAAAGGAGGAAAGGTCTGGACAAAGACCTGGGTGAAGTGCTGGAGAGAGAAGGGGAGATGTCCCTGCTGCCCCTGCCACCACTCCTCATGGCCTTGGTGCAGCAAAGAAGGGCTCATACGGGGTGACCTGACCTGGGAGATGCCCTGCATCCCCTTTAGAAGCCTGCCTGGGTCACTGGGCAGCAGCCATACTCCATGCCCTAACTGGGTCCTTCATCAGGCAGCTGAAGACCAAGTCCTGACCAACAGCAGGGAATTATTTGCCTACACTTCTGAAGAGTAATTATTGACCCTGTTCGGTTTGGTGAATGCCTGAAGGGCAAAATGGAACATGGCTCTGATGCTTTATTCTGGTACCAGCTTGAGCAGCAGATGGTCCCTGCCCCGAGGAACTTACACTCTGAGTAGATGCATGAGACACATTTATATTGGCCTTGCACAGAGGCAGCAGCAAATGCTTTGTACTTACAGAGCAGGTCACATGCAAACCCTGTGCCAACACTCCTGTGTTTCCTCCGGAGGGGGCAACATCAGCCTCATGCTGTTCAGGGAATGATGCCTTGTTAAGGGACATGCTGAAGGTTATGGTGTAAAGCAGAGGCAGAGCACGCAGGGTACTCAGTCCCCAAACTTTACTAATGTATATGAAAAAAGCAAGAAACTCGAGTATAATCGAGGCAAGAGACCTCCTGGATCCACAGGGAAGCTTGTGGTGTGAAAAGGCAAGTGTAGCAGGGAAAGGACAGATACATTTGATTCCCAGGAGGTTGAAGACTCTGACCCTTTTTGATCTATGAAATCATTGATGCTAAATTCTGCACATACCAAAGGAAACACCATTTGAACCAGCTTTTAATGCCGTGTTTATTCCTGGCAGGAGCCCGTCGGCACAGAGATGTATGTACAAGTTTGTTTATGCCTACATCCAACACTGCATCCTTAACAGCCTTCCGAATGGAGGGGGTGCCTGGAGAGCCAGCTTTAATTGTTTTACCCTTTTGGCTGCTATTATTGAGCTGATGGGCAACCAAGACTCTATTTCGCATCACACTCAGCACTGTGCAGAGCATGTTGGCAGACTGTGGATTGGGAACAGTAAGACATCCTGTTACAAAGGACCTGGCTGCCTGAGCTCACCTCCTGTGATACCAGGGAACCAGGGTCTTTGTGTGGTCCGTATGGGGGAAATCTGTCCTTTCCTGAGCTTCAGGAAGAAGCCAGAACAAACAGAAAACGGGAGTGCAAGAAAATCTATGAGAATTTAAGACAAGTGTTGCCTAAGCGAAGACAGGACACAACATCATGTATGTGCTTCCTCTGCTCTGAGCCACAGCCACCACAATGCCTGACCTGCCTTTCGGGTGGCAGCACCCAACCACACCACTGCTGCTACTGGATAGCAAGAGGTTATTGAATGCAGGGGAGCAACAACCAGAGCCAGTTGCTAAACAACGGCAAGCTCCCTTCTCACTCCTTCCTGGCCAGAAGCAAGGGGGCCTAAGAGCATCCGCGCAAAGCACAGAGCATCCTAATTGTAAGGAGCTTCCCCTGGGCAGAACCTACTGATCTTTAGCGTGAACAACTGAGAGGAGGCAAATAACAAGGGTTGAGGGCAGAGCAACAGAGCCAGTGCAGGGCAAGGAGCTAACTGTACATAGCAGAGTTCATCCCGCTGTGTGCCTTCTCCAGGGCAGTGCCCTGGGCCACTCAAGAAGTGCCTTTTTCCCTTTGCCTGCTTGTGATTAAGAAAGCAGAGCACCAATCTGTGTGTAGAGCATCCACAGGAGGTCACAGCTGAGAAAGCAATCCTAGATATCTTCCTGGCCTGATCTTATTCACAGATGAGAGAAGGCAGCAAGGCTGCACACCGTAGAGGCTGGGAACACAGCTGAGATTAGGACATTGGGGACCAGGGCTTTCCTCATGGCCCCCCCAGGAAGTGCTATATGGGAGGAGGAGGAAGCAGAGCCAGCAGGGGTGGAGGATTCAAACAACAGGGGTCGAATCCAGCAAGCCAACACAAGGCAGAAAGACAGAAGAAAGAAGGAAATAAAGGTCAAGCACATTTGCGCTTAATTAAGAAACCAAAGCATTTTTATGAGTCATTCATTTTTCTTCCATATCTCGGCACACTCGCATGCAAATAACGGCAGGACGTAAATGGATATAAAATAAACCTCTTACCATATGAACTCGGTAGAGAATGCTAATTCCCAAAGTCATGAATGGCTTCGAGAAATCAATCACCTTCTCCCGCTCTGCGGTTATGGTCAGCCCCGCCACGGCCAGGTCGGCTTTCTGGAGAGAAAGGAGAGCGGAGAGGATCAGGACCCTGAGCCTGGGAAAGCAGCAGAGCCCTGCTACACAGGACACCTGCTCCTGGAGGATGGATGTCCCATCCCTGCGGGGGTGTGTTTGTGGTAGGGCAAACCCGAGGCTCCACGGAAACAGCGCCTTGTTGCTGATGCCCACTAGTTCAGGCTGTGCTCCCACATCCCTCTCCCCGGGTGGGTTTCGCATAAGCCCTGATCAAACACACTCCAAAGTTTAACTCACCTTGTGCTCCAGACCATTCTCCTCATTTTCCCTTTCCTCACACGGGTGTTTTTATACGTGAAGGTTGGAAAAGCACCAAGCAACCAGTAGGGAGCCCGCTGTGCTTAAAGCAAACAGAATGGTAACCCCTGCCCCAGGTGCTCACAGCCTGATTGCCATTTCAGTTACTTAAATGTGTTAATACCTGGCAAAACAGGAGCCATCGAGACAAGCACTAGTGTACCCATCTGAACAAGATACAAGCTCCCCCTTCCAAAGCCCCTGTTGACCACAGCTGCCCCTTTCAGTTACTTGCAAGCACTATAGTTGGACAGCATAGCACAGCAGCATCATTACCCCCATAGCCTGAGTTTACAAGCCTGCTGGCCCCAGACTTCCATAATTGCAGATGAGCCTCCAAAAAAATCAGGGGACTGGCATAAAATTTTCCAGAATGACTTGCAAAGCAAATGAGATTAGGGGAAAAAATAGACAGAATTTCTTCCAATGTTAATACCCTTGTAATATAGATAAGGGATTTGAATTTTAAATATTATTTTTATTACTGTAGCTCTTTTAATGTCTGTAATTGCTTTCTGTCAAAATTTAACCTTCTCCATTCCCTTCGACATGTGTTTGCCTGCTTTGGAGGATGGTGGTTATACATGGGGAAAAAGAGAAGGGGAGGAAAAGAAAAACTATCTGCATTCGTTGTCCCTAAGTTTCATCAGGTCTGTGCAGAAGCCAAGACACCATCAGGACCAAAGACCTGGCAAAATAAGGGCCTTATCTCCCTGGATCCATGCACCACACAAAGGCGCATCTGCCGGTGCATCACTCTTACCGTGCTCTCTGACCCTACTGCTCTTGCATCACTTCACTTAGGAAGACTGATCACCTCCCAGCAGAGCTTTGCTTTCCCACCTCTGCCCCCACCAGCCTCAAAGGCAGGCAGGGAGGCAGGGCCGGTGAAAGGCTGGAGTTGCAAAAGGGAAGAGCAGCACTGCTGGAGCCTGCAGGATGAAGGGAAGGGAAGAGAAAAGAAAGGTCTTCTGCAAGCCTGCCCAGTGATGAGGGGGTCACGGGGAAGGTGATATTTCACCGTCCATGCAGGACGGCTTTATTGGACAAGCTCAGTGCCAGATCTCTGCAATTGTTTCCAAGAAGCTATTACAGATTCCTAGGAGGTTCAGGCTGCAATGAATTATGAGCTAGGGAGAATTTCTGCCTAGCCAGACATTTACCCACAGGGTTTTAAAAAGGCACCAATAATCGTAACGCGGTGTGTGAGCAGTTGAGCCTTGTGTAAACACCAGCAGGTTACTAAAATGGGATCAGTTCATCTGTGGACCATGGCACGCGAGGGAGTTTATCCACCAAGAGAGCCTAAAGCTTCCTAAACCACTCCTGTCTATACTTAAAAGGGTTTGCAGGTACTATTGTCCTGGGGAGATCTCCCCTAGGAAAGCCCCTGGAATACAGCTTTCTAACAGATTTCTTCCCGCAGTTCTCCAAACAGAACACAGTTCAACCAGCAAAGTTGTAGGCTAAATAGATGGTAAATATGCCACATCAAAAGCGTGTCATGCAAAAGCTCCAAGGACATTTCCATTCCCATCCAGAGGCCAACACAAAGGTGCTGCTGACAGGAGCAGCGTGGCCCTCAGGTCTACCCAGCTAAATCCATACCCCGCTCTCACAGGTGGGATGTGGTCAGGGAACTTTCTGCACCCTGGTTATTCCCCTGCTACTGCCCTTTGGGACCCTTCCAGACCATGTAGGCAGCAATATCTTGAAAGCTGCTCTTCCCTATGCAAAATAGAATGCAAAGCCATCCCAATCCCTCTACCTACGGAGCAGAAACAGCACAGAAGGGCTGCCTTCCCTGGTTGCACATGGGTTTTTTGCCCAGGCCCCTTGTCTTTCTTCCAGAGGGTCCTCCCATGCCATCAGAGCTGATTTCCTTATGCTCATTCCCTGCTTGATCAACTTCAGTCCCCTTCAGGACTTACGCCAGCATCAGAGCTTACAGCCTGCTTTAACTTGTGCACATGCATGTCTTCCTTCTCCTGTGCCCTGCGCCAGAAACCTGGCTCCTTGTGGCTTTAGCTGTGCTCTGTTACAGAATCACTCTCTCTGCAGGCTCAGAAGTCGTGCAAGTTAAGAGCCGATTTCTGACAGCCATAAACTTTGATCTGGGAATGGCAGGCAATGTATTCCCTGCCTGAACACCATCCATTTCATGCTTCTACTTTCCTTCCTGATGTTAAGCAAACTTCTTGTGATTCACTGAGGTCAGTGTATCTTAGTTACAGGAGCTCTGCCAACCTGAGTGCTCTCCAGCCCTCCCCACCTGAGCGCGGGTAGGAGTTGGCATTTTATAGACTGAACAATGCGTTGAGGAAGAAAAGGATTTTGCTTTGTGTTTCTGCATTCTGTCCACAGCTGAGCCCTGGGGGGAAAGCGAACAGGAGGAAAAGGATGGGGGGAAGAAGGGGCAAACCCTGCTTGATTTTCATCCTTCCAACACGGTTGCAGCTATAAATGTCAGTGTGAAATAGGCTTAGAAAAAAACCCAGAGCATTTTGGGACTAGAGACAGACACTTCCTTAACAAAACACAGCTTAAACAAGCCCAAACTCTCCATAGGTAAGAGGATGCCCCAGTGTGCTGTTAGTTTTAGATAAAAGCATGAGGTGCCACCACCACACCTGGCATTAACCATGGGATCAGGCTCACGCTGCCACTATGAAGGATGCTAAACCCAGAGGCCAAGCTGGACCCCTTAAAGGGGAACTACAATTAAGCAGCCTTAAGAAGCAAACTGCAGGGACTGCCACAGTCCAGAGGAGGCAGCTGCCTCCCCGCTGCAGGTGCTGCTGACAAGGCTCATCTCAGCACTAATGGTGATGAATGTGGCCTGATGTCAGCCTGGACAGAGAGCATCCCCAGAAGTCTCCCATGGCATGGGCTACCAGCCAGGAGACCAGCCCTGCTCCAGCCCCACAGTGATTCCCAACCTCCTGTCAACCTACGGACACAAAACACAGTGAGAGTCCCAGCAGCAAAAGGCTTTGGGCTGTCTCTGTGTCAGAAACACAGAAAATAAACCTGAAGGACAGCTCTGGGAGCATGAGGCTCTTCATGGAGCAGGAGTCCCTGACTTGAACAGCACACTGGATGCTACATCTCCTGGGTACCCATAAGAGCATCATTCTCACCAGCGCTGCCCATGAAAGCATGACCAAGGTTAGGGAAAGCGATTTCTTACACTGCTTCCATGTTTAAAGAGCCTTCTAGGAAGCCAAAATCAGTGTTCAGCCTTCAGGACCCACCTGAGCACAAGGCACAGCGGTTGGGCTGCAGCCTGCAGCAACGACAGAGCAGTCTCTCTGCATCTGCAGATCTGTCCCATGGCACAAGAAGTACAGCTCTGCCACCGGATCGATGTACTGATTGCTTCTGCTCCAACTGCCCATCTGATTTGACAGGAGCTATTTTGGGTAATGCAGCTCCTACTGATGGAGCCAGGTTGTGCACTCAGATGCATATTCTTGCATTTCAAAGCAGGGCCAGACGAGGGTCACTCAAAACCAGTGTTTGAATTTTCCTTAAGGACACGCATGATTTCTGACACATGACAAGTGACAGCCTGCAAACCCTGGAGGCTGCAGCCCTCCACTTCAGCCACAGCCAGCGATGAGAGTCAGCAATCAGTGCAGATGTCAGCCTCAGGTCTGCCTTTATCCACCTTTCCTCACTTGGCTGGGAGGAAAACATCTGTGCCAGGTATTCGCCATGCCCACGGCAAAAGCCAGTTAAGGTGAAGCACAAAGGAATGGGGAACAGCAGCAAGACCTAACCAGCTCCCACACCTCCCTGCTTCCCACCCTCTTAAGCCCCCCAGTGTCACATTTGCCAGCACAATAGTGTGCATACAGACTCCCCCTCCCTTCACCCACACATAGCTTTTCTCTCCGAACACCCACTGCCACGTGGAGAGCAGGACAGCCAACCGTGAACTATCTTCTCCTTCCTGCCCTTCCCCATCTTTGGAGCAGTTGAAGGGAGAGCGCCTCTGATTGTAAAACACCACCTTGTCACCAGCAAGGAAGCTGGGCAAACCATCATCCAAAAGCTTTAAGGTCCTTTCAGTTCTTGGTGTTGCTGCTCCCAAGGCAGGACCCTTCCATGAGATGGACAGCTTCATCTCCCTCACTCTAAAGTGATCTTGGATCAAGACTGCTCACTTAGACACAGAAGACTCTACAGCTCTTCCCCTAATCCCAGCCCCGCTCTGCCTTAGCTCTTAATTTGCTTTGTGAGCAGGTCGATAAGATATGTACTGGTAAATTTGGGTCAACAACAGATTTATGTTTATATAGCATCCTTCTCAATCATATCATAGCTCACAATTAGCTGTAATGCAATTTTCAGCACTTAAGAATAAATCAATAGCTGGTTAATTTAGAAACAATAAAATGAAACACTTTTCCCATATTGCCTACAGTTGCTCTGAAGAGATTCAGTGCCACTAGAAGGGATTACAGAGGAAAAAATAATAGTGGAAAGGTATTGCATGGAGCTGGATAATTGTCTGACCTTCCGGTCCTGCACACCATGTCAGACAAGCCTTCGTTTCTGATCGGTGCGCAGGAGGAATCGCTTCCCTGTAGTAATACAGCACTGCAGGGAGAGAGATGCAGAGCTTTTATTTTGCATAGGATTTGGGAAGTTTGTGTCCCAACTGATGTCCCCTCTCTGCGCTAAAGAATGCACGGAGAAAAGGGGCCAAGGGATAAATCCACTGTGTGTCCAGCATCAGATGTGCTGGCTCTTCTGCTTTGAGCGGTCCTCAAAGCAGGATGGGGGATGAACAAGGGGCTGGAACAAACCCCTTTGGGGGCAAACTGTCAAGGAAGGAGAGGAGCCCTTTGGGCTCAGAAATGGCTTCAGAAAGCAACATCCCAGGCAGCCCTGAATAAACACAACAGCACGCACATGGCCAGCTCTGCCCTCACTGACCTGATCCAAAGTGCCAGTCCCTGGGACTGATCAAAAACTTGCTGAAGCCATTATAAAGACTCTAAAGGGTCTGGGAAGAGCAAAGCAGAGAAGGCTTTGTCTGTTCTCCAGCTTTTGATTTAGCATCACACAGGCTTTGCTAGCTCCACACTGCTGAAGCAGAAATGAAAATCCTCCTAAATAAGGCTCGAGCTGCAGAAGAAACAAATGGTTTCCCAGCGAAGATGAAGTTAAAACACTTAGCACTAAAGAAAAACAACCCTCCAGAAGCTCCCATTTAATGGAGAGGCACTGCCAAGGTTAGTAGGCCAAAAATCTGATGGCTGTTCCCTTCCTTTGTTTGCACAGATCGCACGCTGCTCTCTGCGCCTTCCTTCTTGCCTCCCAGAAGAAGCATTGCAGAGCAGTAATTGTGTGTGTGTATATACACACAGAGAGACGTGTATAAAAACTATGCCAATAGCCCCCAGCACTTTCAAACAACCTTGCAGAAGGCTTTTTAGTAGCAGCAGATGGAGGTGGGATCTCGGCTGGCGTTGGGAACTATCATTCCACTGGGGAAAGGCAACCCAGGAGACAGTGTGCTAGTTCAGGAGGGCTCTCCAGTCCATACCATGCCCTCACTCTGGGCCTTAGAAAGTCTTTTAGGCATTGAGCTGTACCACCTGACTTCAGATGAAGCTCCTAAGGTAGGATAAGTGTCAGCCATGTCCCTCTGGCCATCTGGAAAGAAGCAGAGAGATGGTGGTGGGCATCTCCTAGAGATGCTCACTCATCATCTGCAGCAGGGAGGAAAGCAGGAGCCCCAGACCCCTGCCTGGAGCCACAAGGGGATGGATTGGGGCCCTTATTCCTCCGCTTTGCAGGAGGATGTGCCACTGTTGTGAGGATAACGATGGGGTGGCTCAGAGGCTCCTCTCACGCAGTGGATTATCATGGATACACCTCACTGTGGGTTGGCCACCAGCTGAGAAGCTACCACTGGGTTCTCACAGGTGCTTCGGTTGTAACAAGGCAGGGTAGAAATCGGTGAGCAAGGAAGTATTAGTTTAAATAACATCAATCTTAATGTTAGCTTTGGCTAAGCCTATTTTACTAAGGATCTTGGAGCATTTTGTGAGCTGTATTTAAGCTTCAGGATCCCTGGGGAAGGACTACCTTTAACAGTGGAGGAAAACAAAGAGCAGGGAGATGGGGACAGGCTGAGCACACATGAACTCGGAACTCTCGTCTAACCCAGCCAAAGCATTCAGGTTTCAGCCTAGCTGCTGTGTAGCAACACTGCAAAGCAGAGCTGTGAAAGGATCTCAATCCACACACTTAAGCAGACCAAAAACGTTCTCCAAAAACAATACTCAAAGTTAAGGGACTGAAATAAATCTGCCCAAACTTTTCTGCATAGAAAGGCACTTCTTATTTGCTTTCCTCCAACTACTTTACACGCTGTCACATCAACACCACAAACACATTTGCCATTGGGAGGACACATCAAATGGAGATCCTCTGGTCAAAGACTCACAAGTGGATTAAAACCCCCATCCATCCTTATCACCCTGGAGCACTTAATAGAGCACCAGGGCTTTTCATTGCCAAGTCCCACTAGAGCACGGTCACAAAGAGCAGCTAATTCACTTACCCGAGCAATGAGCTCCCCGACCATCCCTGTCCACGTGCCGTTTGCCTCAGGGACTCCATACACCCCATCGCCAACGAGGTGGATCTTATAGTTGAAACGCAGGATCTCTGCCAGCTCCTTCAGCATGTCCACGCAGAAGCCCTCGTAGCGGTCGTTGCCTTCCAGCTCTTGATGGTTCCACTTCAGCATTAAGTAAGGGTTTTCCTGCATTGAAACTGGGCAGCTGTCATTCCCATCTTAGCCGAGGTATCCCACCAGCACGGCGCCGAGCACAGGGCACAAAGAGCAGGGGCACCCAGGCCAACCTCCAATCCCAATGTATCCCTCTCAACCAGGGGATAAGAGGTGTGGAAAGCTGGTTTGATCACTTGGGAAGCCAAGGTGTAAAGCTAACAGAGCCGTTTCTACCCTGGTACTCACTGGTCCCTGCTGTGCCAGGGATATGCTGGAAGTGCATTGGATTTATCCCAGTTTAGGATATGAAACAGAGCTAAGGGATCATGCACTGGGGGCCGTTTCCAAATGGGATATGCCAAAGCAGCCCAGTGACTGCTCCGAGTTACAGCAGGACGGACAGATTCCAGCCTCGCTTGGCATACAGCCACTTCTTCAGATTGTCCCTCTTTTCAACAAACTTTTGGCACTACTTCCTCACATCCCACAGAGTTCTTCAGGATTCTGAGTATTTTTTATGATGGAGCACTGGGGAAAACCATAGGAACAAGCAGCACCTGCAACAAGGACAGTGGTGCCTGCAGGTGTGAACTCTTGGTTCATGAAAGTTGCACCCATCTTGGCCAATTTTATGGGTATAAGGGACAATTGTCCCTTCCAACTTACCAGCTGTACACAAAACAAGAACATCGTTCCGAGATGAATGTAAAATGGCAACTTATCCCCATCCTAGTCCTCTCCCCAGCTGCTTCTGAACTCATCAAATATCATTTCCATATGAAACATCAACTTGAGTTTAATTACACTGTCATGAATTGTCCTCAGTGCTGTAATTAGAGATTGGATCGTCTGTTCTTTATGAAATCAGTGTTCAACTCCGCATGCCGGGGGCCGACGGGGGTAGGAAGAGGGAATAACACCCTAGCTGATTGACACCTCTGAGCATGGGGATGGCGAAGAGCTAACGGGAACTGTAGGTGACCCCCTCACTTACCAGGATGGTGGTGACAATGAGCGTGGTGTTGAACAGACTGTCTGATATATTGGAGGAGAAGATCCTGTTGTCCATGCTGAGTCCTTCAGAAACGTGCCAGTGGCCGATCTGGAGAGATAAAACAGCACAATAAGGGAATTTACAGGGCAAATCACTGTACGTTCCTGCCATATGGCTCTGGTGATAGACAACCATCAAAGCTGGCCCTGGAAGAGGTGCTTATGAATGCTCCATTAGCTTTACAGTGCACCCCTTCAAAGGGCCAGCAGAAAGATTAACACACTGGTGCCTGGCCCCAGCACTCCCCCACCAAAATACAATGCCAAAACCCTGTCCCTGCTCACAGCCTTCTCACATGTCCTTGTGTAGCAGTGGAAAAGCCCTGCACAGGAAAAAGCCCTGTGATGGGCAGCTCATGGTAGCCAAGCAGCCTTCTGCATTGTCCCCAGATGCCACCAAGATGGGTCCATCTTACCCAGCAGTCCCGACACAGCCAAACCTGCAAGCTCATCCCTCCCAGTGAGGTGCAGCTGGTAGCCTCTGCCATCCCTCACACTCACACGTGCACTGTGTGTTACGGACACAGCTTGGAAGAACTTGAGGAAGTGCTGGAAGTCTGATTTTACAGTGAAGGCTCAAAACTGAGGGTTCCTGCCCCCAAATTCCTGTCCTGCCTTATGCTGTCTGTGTAACAAAGCTTTCACCTGCCTGAAAGCAAGCAAAACCTCTCGCTGTCCTCCTGTGGGTGTCACTGTCATTAGTGGGAGGCTGCTATAGGCACTGTTTGTTCCTTGGAGGAAAACATCACTTGACAGGGAGTATCACAGCATCACGGCTTCCCCTGCAATCCCAGAGCAGCAGCCAGTGCCAACACAGGGCAGATGCCTTCCAGCCCTGACCAGCAGCTCCACCTTGGTGGCAGTGGGTGAAATGAAGCCATGCTCTTAGTGGTGCTGCACCATGACTCATCTCCTCTATCTACTGCAACGGATGCCAACTACAATGATTAAGTACATCCAAACTCTTTGACTCAGGCTCATCACACCCGACAGCTCCACGGCCAGCCGAATTCACCAACCATGCATCAGCATCGCTGCAGCAAACCTAATTCCCAGCACCAGTGGCAGGGAGCGGTCCTCCCGTGCTCGGGAGGCCGTTGTGACTCAGCTGTGACGCAAGGCAACCAGCCGCTGCCTTCAGCCAGGGGGGAGGAATATTCTGTAAAACCTAATTTTAACTTCAAGAGCCCAATCTCCCTCCCTCCGAGCTCTGGGCAGGGAGATCAGCACCTCCAGCAGCTCGTTCTGAGCATGCAAATCAGGCTGTCTCTCTCTTATGCTCCCTAAAAGCCTCTGTTTTATCTCATGGATAGACTGGTGGCTGAAGGAGGCCAGCTCCCCCTGAGACCCATTCTCTCTCCTTATTCTCCTTGCAAAGCCTCTCTCCCTCAGTCATGTCCCAAAGTCCTCTGACACCACTCAAGCAAGCTGCTGCATCCCGAAGAGGGAGTGAGTGACCCCAATGCACAGGGGTGTCTTCACAGCTCCTCTAGAGCCACGGTGCCAAAGCAAATCCATTCCCACTTCCCTTGCACTGACAGGAGCTGTCTCGGGCACTGCTGGTCTCAGGCAGGTTATCCTTCCTCTGTGCCACGCTTGTCAGGGTGGTAGGAACAAATCGATTTCTCTTCCGTCAAAGAGTAATCTCATTATGTTCAAAGAGTTGGGTGGAAGGCGACAGCAGAGCCACCGGCCAGGCGGAGGCACTGCCATGGAAATGAACGGGAGGCACGCTGATTTACACCAGCCCCAGGATTGACTCCATGCACTCAGTCTCTTTTCTTGGCAGTGCTTTGCCTCTGGCATAACTGATGGCTCGAGGACTTCAGAAGTCACTTCCCAGCCAAACACAACCTGAAACTGCAGTGGCTCTGCTTGCGCTGTCAGCACACTGGATCGCTTTGGACACTGAGGAAAGGGCCAAGTCCTTTCTTCTCCTGGCTGTCAGGGCAAATCCAGCCCAAGCGACTGACAAGCCATTACAAAAGTGGCCATCTGTAAAGAATCCCAAATCCAGGCCCCTCAGCCCTAGGCACGAGGAGCGGTGGGAAAAGCAGTCAGGGCATCTTAGACTCAATAGCTTTGCAGAAGGAAAGCAGACAGGGAAAGCAAAGGACAGCCACGTGCATGTCCATGTCTGCTCTCCTCCCCGGCTGCAGTTGAGGCACTGGGATGCAGCAGTGCAGGCAGAGCTCCCAGGAGGGGCTTGTTTACTCTGCAAACAACACAACAGGGATTATTCCCCCCCTTCACCACCATCAATAATGCTCTGCTAAAAGCACCAGTCATGGCAAGGACCTCTGAATGCATCGGAAGCACCAATTCTCACAGCTCACCAGCACCAGGAGAGGCACTGAGGGTTATTAGCATCGCCTGACAGATGGAGACATGGAGGCACAGTGACAGTGTGTCTGGAAGCAGATCTTGAGCACCCTGCTCTCTTGACAGCTTGTTGTGACTTTACTACCACCAAGCTCATGGCATCACAGCAGTGCTGTAGCGCAGGACTCATCTCCAGGAGCAACTGTCCCAAACTGGGAGATTTACCATGCACCTCATGGCCAGGGAGTCCTTGAAGCACAGGTTTAACTAGCCTGTGCAGGGTCTGCATCAGCGAGAGGAGGAATTCATCCTGGCTGTATTCCTGGCAGAAAGGTGCTTTCCTCTTGCTGTGACTGCTAAACAACGGACCCGCTGCAGCAATCTCCTCTCTGAGTGATCAGTCATAAGCATTTGCCTAGATTCCTCAACCAGAGATTACTGACAGATTCACTAACGTTAACAGCCCTCCCTGCTCCCAAATTTGTCCCTCCCCTGCTGGCACACTGAGACTAATTGACTGCCTCCCCCCCCCCGACAGTGCGGCGGATTTGACCTCGCTCTTAATACAGCGCCAAAGCCAAACACTCCCAAGGTGCTGGGGTACTTCAAGCCCATCCTGGCTTGTTCCGGCTCACCACTGTCCCCCTCACAGTATGCTAAAGCCACTAATTGAGTCCTCATGCTGTTTGCTCCTTCTGAAGTGTAATGTGTCAGGATGTCTGGGATCATCAGATCTCTTCCTCTCTTGCAAGATGGATGTCAAGGTGATTTTAATCATCTCTATCTATGGGTAAAAAGCCTCTGAAAAAGACAAAACACATTCACCTGCAAAATGCATGAGGAAACAATCAAGTGCTCTACACGGCTGTGGATAAGATGATCCTGTTGTTAAGGCACTGGACTAGGACTTAAGAATTTTTAGGACTTGGGATTTTTTAGTAGCAGATATGATTGGTCTGTATAAATACAGCAGGTGGAGGAGGCCCATCGCAAAGAGGTAGAACAGCTTTTGTAGCTAAAATGATAGCGCTGGCACAAAAATAAACAGATATAAACCAGCCAGAAATAAACAGGCTGAAAACTGGAAGAGGGTTTCTAATGATCAGGGGAGCTTCAGTGATGGCATACCTTTCCCAGAAGAGCAACGAGGGCAACACAACCGCCTTGCTGCAAGCTGGGGCTCCATACATTTGTGAGAGGGATTATCCAACCTGGTGACAGACGACAGCTTGTGGCTGGGATGGAGAAAGTCCCCTCGATGTCCTTACAGGGCCAGAAGGAGAGCCAGCCCCCTCTGCCTGCCCTGCCTGGGATGCCTGCCAGCATCTCGAGTCTGACCTGTTATATGTCCTTACCACAGGCAGGGAGCTAACACACAGTTCCAGAGCAACCCAGCCCAAAAAGCCTTGAGCCTGGAATAAGCACGGAAGTGCCATTGCTCATGACACTGCCCCATCCCCACAGGCAGGAAAGGTGCCTCAATTTAGTTGCTCTGCAAAAGGTGTTATCATGATCAGTGACACTGAAAGGATTTCTCATCACCAGTGGCTAACAAGATGCAAGCGGGGTATTCCCGCCTCATTCCTTCAATCCTTCAGCTTCCCTGTTCAGACACCGCCACGTTAATGACGCCGGGCTTTCAAGTTCCTTGTGGCATGAGATGACAAAATACTGCTCAAACTAATGATTTTAATGAAGTCTTCAGCTCAGTGCCCCGCAGGCCTGAACGGCAGCTGATGGCAAGGAGTGATGACATAGCAAGAGCTTCAGAGGCACCACAGGTACTCACCATCCTCGCTCCCCAGCTAAAAGTTAAGGTAAAGCCAGCCCTGAATACAGACGTGTTCGAACAGGCAGGAGACCACCACTGCGACAAGCACAGATACCTTTAGGGCTCTGATTAGCAAGCACTGTCCCACAGCTTGCATTCCTCACCTTTCCCTTCTCATGTCCACAGGAAAAGGCAGCAGTGCAAAACGCTATCAGCTCTCATCAAATCTGTGTTTGGAGAACCTTGTCAACACTAACAGGAAAGCTACTGTGCCAGGAGAAGGTACAGTTAGGTAGGTACCTGGTGCATTTGTTGGCCTGAAGAGGGAGGAATTTGGGAGCTCTGCGGAGGGAAAAGGGAATAAAACAACTGCAAGAAAGCCTTCAGAGGACACTGCACAGGTCTACCGTGTGGTTGGCATTCCTGAAGGACACAACCAGGCAAAAGCTTCCCCCACAGGAGTTAGCATGGGACACAGAGAGCACCACGTGTACAACCACGAGACATGCACACAACCCACCAGTGACCACGCAGCAGTCCCCATGACGCTCAACCTCCCCAGACATCCCCTTCAGACAACATGATTGACACCTGACATAGCCCAGGCAGGACTGATGGTGCCACACTCCGAGTTCATCGGGTCCTGGGAGGGGGGGCAAAAGACACTTGACCCTTGGCAGGATCCGTCCCTGAACTCTTGCTGGGGGTTACAGCTAAAGAGAAACAAGTCCCATTGAGGCTGATTAGCCGCTTCTAAGTTAAAAAGGTTTGATGTGATGGGGACTGCTGAGGGCCTCAGAGCTATTGGCTGGTATCTCATCTGCATGCCACCACCATAGTGATTAGACGCCCTCATCACTCCCACTTCTCTGTCCTGGGACACCAGCAGAGCACTGCGCTAAAAGGTGACTAATTGGCTGCCCCAAGGACCAAGTGAGAGCCATGGGTCACAGGCAGAGCTGTGGACAACGTGTCCATGGTGGGGCTCCAGCCCTGTCAGCAGCTTTCCTTGCCTCCCCTCTGCACAGATGCCTTCCCTGGGGCCGTCTAAATGACAGCTCCTCTTCTTTCCCTTCTCCTGTGAAGCTGCCAAGCCTTAGCGCTCCTGGTTTACTGCACATCACTGCACTGAAACCGGAGGTTTCTGGGCTGCAGTGTTTCTTAAAGGGGCAAAGAAAGGCAGGAAATAAAAAGATGACATTTCCAAACTGAGACCTCCTCAGATCTACGGATCACCAGCACGTTAATGAGCCCGTGCTTTATTGCACATCCTATGAACAGAGAGCAGCTCTCATATGGCTGTGGAAAAATTTCCACTAGTTAAGCTAAATCAGGAAAAGGCACGTTTGGTGCGTTACATAAATGTATTAAAAATTGGATGTCAAAAAGCCCTGTCTCTCCTTGCCCAAAAGCAACAGCAAGTTAGAAAATCTAAGTGCTTCTAATTTGTTTGCTGGCTGGATCAGCTTCCAAATTCAGTGAATTCTCTATCAAAGCTGATGAGCTGGAAGTCCCTGTGGCTTCGATAGATGGAAGGAGAGAGAAAGAGAGAGATGGAAAGAGAGAAATGGGCAGAGAGCGTGAGCTTGATTAAAACTAAGGAGGGAATAGAAGTGTTTCAAACAAGACCCTGAGCAAATGAGTTAATATAATAACCCTTCGGAACAAAACTGTCTCCAGGATGTGCACGTCTGTTCCTTACCCTGCTCCCCTCATAGCGGGTTTAATTAAATGATTTCTTATGATTTATTTAGTTATTTTTCTTACAAGAAGCCAAGCTGGTGAGAAGAAAATAACCACCTATGGCACAGCAGAGCGGCATTTGGCTTCCCTTTGTGGGAACCAAGAGGGGAGCTCTGGCCAGGGATTCCTTTCCCAGTTGGGCACGTCACGATCAACTTGCAGCCTCTGAGGGGCCCCAACACCCCTCCTGGCACTGCTATCAGTCACACAAGCCCCCTGGGTACCTCTGAAACATACAGCTGCTTATTTACCGAGCTCTTGCAACAGGTCTAAATAGGTTTTCTCTTGTCAGACTGGGTTTGGGGAGCAGAGCTGAGACTCGTGTCTCAGGGTGGATTAGGCTGCACTCAGAGCTCTCTGTGCAGCTCTGGGGGAAGCACTGCTACAGGAGGACCTGTGTGTTGAATGTGAACACCCTGCCACATTTAAACACATCAAAACCATAGCTGTCATATGAATCCTACAGCATTTGCTTGCTTTGCTCTAGCCAAGCGCGTGCTCTTATTAATGCAGATGGGCTTGGATCTGTCACTTTTGCTCAGAGAACGATGGGTTGGGGAAATGATTAAAAGGGCACTGGTGCTATCTTACTGTGGGGAAAATGCCATCGTGGTCTCCTGCTCACTCAGCTAAAGGCAGCATCAAAGCTGGACTGTCACTTGACAGGTAAGAATTGGCAGGCAACATCCTTGCCAAGGCTACAGTTCATGGTTGCCAGACCAGGAGAGATTTCCTAATGCCAGAATGCTCTGTTGGTGCGGGATAAGATACAACAGCTTTTGTTCTCTGTCAGCATGTGGGAGAAGTGGCAATCTCTGAGAAAAGGGCAGGTGTGGAGCTGTCAGCGGGGAAATAAACCAGATGAAAACCCTTTTCCTGGGACTTCCATTTCTTTCCCTGAATGAGGTTTGCATTTACCAGTAAAACCTGAATTCCTTGGGCTTGTGTGATGCTATCTAACCAGTCTGATATCTATGGCTCCACAAGGTCATCCTTAACCTTAGCTGAAGCCAGAAAACATCCCTTGGACAGAAAGAAGGCAATAAGCAGAAAAAAAGGACCAATGCTTAAGGACTCCATGAGCACTGAGACAAGAAGCAAAGGAGAGCCTGAGCTAAGCAAACCCATTACAGAGGAACACGCACCATAAACCAAGAGGTAAATTATGTCACGCTTCCTCCTGCACGCTGGGGAGAGATGGTGGGGAGCTCCTGAGATGCGATTGCCCCCTTCGCCTTTCTTCCCAGAAGGAGCTGTTTGGAAAGGTTCATAGTACCCTTTATTGCCCATTTCATGGCAGATTCTCATTTTAACTCATTCAAATAATTCTGGGTACGCGTGTTTCCACAAACTAAAGAGTCTTGAGTGTGAGCTTGTACCTGGCACACCCCTGGTGCTGTGAATTATCTCCTGCACAGAAGGGTTACTGCGACAGGACAGACACTGGCTCTAAAATCACCACCTCAGGGGCCCGATAGATAAAGACAAATCTGAATCATCTCAAACCACGTTCTCGATGAAGTGAAACATGGATTGTTTGCCAACCCACTGCAACATGCACACCACGCTACACACAGACCATCCCCAGCGCAGCTCTCACCTGCCGGAAGCCGCTGCGTGTGTGCTGCAGGATCTTCAGGGCATAGTTGGACCTCTGGCCTTTGCTGTTGAATTCGATGTGGCCGGTGAGACCTTCCAATTCTACCTGTCCAAGAGAGAATGAGTTACAGCGCCCATCGAGGCCCATGCAGCAGAGCCAGAGGCCCCATGCACCAGCCATCCATCCTCCTAGCACCTACAGCAATGCAACCCTTGTGTCTCAATCCTAATGGCTTTTGGAGTCTGGCAAGGGTAGCGAAAAGATGGAGGGGAGCAGGAGCATCAGCAGCATGAGGTGCATGGCTCCCCAGATCTCACCACTGCAGCCCCTCACTGCCTCCCTCCCTCCATCCCAAGGCTAACACTGCAGCAGGCATGAGCTCTTCACTGTCTCACATTGAATCTCTGGCTGGGGATTCCTCCACAAACCATTATGTGCTGTTTCACAGGATCAGGATGGCATTTAACACAAGAGCGCATTGCAACAGAGCCAGGATGAGTGTCTAGCCTCACTGTGCAGATTAACCACCGCTTGCTTGCTGCTGGAGCACCTCTTCAGGAAGAAGAGCAAGCTACAGAGCCAAGGGAAGCTGGAGGATTTAGTTGCCTTGGACTAAAGGTGAGATCTAAAGCACAGTTGGCAGGCATGGACCAGAGTGGTGCAAGGTTCAATTTCAGCGGAGCTTTCCTTTGGAGGAAAGAAACGTCTCATTGAATTTCCCCATCTCACGACATTTCAGCTGCATCCCAAACAGACTCAGGAAACACGCTCCTTCTGCGTGGTCCAGCTCAGCTCCAAGGAACCGTATTGAGAAACTCCAACTACTGCAGAAGGCTGAAACTTCATTATCTGTTCTCATGACAGAACTAGGCTTGACCAGTTCCAGCAACCACGCTTTCGGGTTCAAAGGAGCCCAAACCCCATTATAGGCAAACTCACATCACGCCACTGAGCTCTAAGCAATTGTACCGCATGACCTTACATCAGTCCAAGTTCACTCAAAACAGAGCTCAAATAACTCAGAAACATTTGTGCTTTAAAAAACCCTTCACTGAATTCCGGCTTTTCTGCAGCAAAACCTGGAAAACGGCACGTTTCATGTTGTTCCAAGGCCGGTGACAAACCAGCCCTCAGATCTCTCTTTTCCTTCCCAGAGCTACCTTCAAACAAACCGGCACTCTGTGCTTGAGAACCGTGCCAACACCAGCATGTACACACACACACATCCATCCTTCCTTCTGGCAGCGACGAGCGCTAGCTCCCGAGCGTCAGTCCCTTCTCACCATTCTCAGGTAGTTCATCAGGCTGGTGCCGTGCTGCCAGATCTGGGCAGACCCACAGGACAGGGGCTTCACCCCGATCTCCTGGCTCCGGTTCAGCTCCTGCACGGCGGTCACCACAGCATACACAGCGTCGAACAGCAGGGCCGAGGAGAGCTGCGGGCAAAGAGAAGGAGCTGAGATGGGAAGACAAAAACTAAGCGTGTTCGGGACCTTGTGGCTCTATCCACAGCCTTCAATGGGATCAGAAAGGGGCAAAATGCTTGTCCTCCCCTGTGAGGACAGGAAGCCCTGCTTGCCCATCGTTATGTTCCAGCAACATCCTGCACCCATCCGAGGGCAGGGAGAACAAAAGCAATGGCATCCCTGAACTGCTGTGCCTCTGTGAGCATCGCTGGGGCAAGAGTAATCCCTTTGCCAGTCCCACTGCCAGTGTGTTTTATTTCTCCTTCTCTTCTTGCTCGATTCCTTACCCTTTCTATCCCTGCTTGCTTGTTCCTCAGGGTTTCTTTCATCACTATCACCTTTTGTCCCTATCGTTTCCCATTCTTTTCTACCTCACTTTCCTAAAGCAACTAAGCCTCCCAAATCAAGGTGTGTTTTCTGCTGCTTTGGTGGCCACTGATCAAACTGCTGGCCAAGGGGGAACACACTTGAGAGCATCAGGTTTATGAAGTTCATATGTAGGCAGCTGGACAGAATAAAGATCCTGCGCCTACACCTACAGAAGGAGAGATGACTGCTGCTCCAGCCTTCATTAGGCACCAAAGAATCCTCCTTTGAAAGGCAGATCCACAGGAAATGAGGTTTTGCTAGATTTACTTGTTAAGCAACAGCCTCCTGGCTTTCAGACCCTGTAGAGACCATCTAGGTCTTTGAAACAGCCTCCACTTCCCTGCTGGCTGTTACCTGCTCTGTAATGACTCTGCTGAAGCAATGTTCAGAATCACAGAGTTCATCCCCTCTCCTCCTCATTTGTGCTTTGTTTGCCTTCAGTCAGATTTCTTTGTCCATCAAGCCTCACAAGCTGTGTTGTTCGCCCATGCACAACCGTTTTGATGCTTTTTGATCTAGGTACTAATCAGCCATTTGCTCTCTCAAGTTCACTGTTGTGACGAAGATTTCGCTTCTAATTATTGTCACCTCCAGACTCTGCTGGAATTAAGTTGTTGCAGCTCATTATATCAAGGCTATGTTTTCCAAAAGCATCCTCTTACCATCCCAGCTCCTGGCAACAGGTTCAATCTCTAGCGTGGGGCTCCTTTCCCCCACCTTTCCCTGCTTGTGGCTTGCAGCACTTCAGTGGTATCTGTGTCCTCTATTCCTCCCAAAGCCTGATAAGGTTTATTCACTTCTGCCAGTGGCCCTGCAGGAACAATCTTGCCCAGTTCATTCACCCCAAGGAACCTTTGGCTTCGACTGCATTACTAATTGGAACGGAGTGAGCCAGACTTAACCCTGCTTGATCTTACTCAAGTAGTGGCAAGACCTCATTGACTACAATGGCCCGGGATTAGGCAGCTGACAAGGAGCACGATGCCTTGGAACGTGCAAGCTGCATGAGTTACAAGGCATGACTTCAGCCTAATGCTAGCAAAACCCCAAACGCCAGCTCTAACCTCTCACTCAATCAACCCCGGTACAGGCTCACATTTGCTCTATCGCATTCTTCCTACGTGCATCATTTTAGCCTGTTTTACACAAATAGCATTTAGGGAACTCTTCAGTGAGCACTGAACGACTTGGCTGGCATCTGTCAGTCTTGCATCTGACCTGCCTCCCACACAACAGGCAGCACCTTTGGTCATATATGTCAAGAACTTGCTGCTAACAATAAGAATTGACTGGCTGCAGAGCTATGAAGTTTTATCACAGCTATTTTGCAGGAGATAAACTGTAAATCAGAGGAGCTGAGCAGCCTGAGGACACACAGTGACTTAATGGTAGAGTGGGAACCCAATGCTCCAGTTTGAGCATCCTGTTTCCTATCCTCCCTCAGCTATGAGACACCACAGGTCCCTTTGCAATGGCAGCAAGCTACTCTCCTGCACTTCTTCCACAGGCAAGTCTGCTAAGGGTTTCTGCTTACTATTCCCATCTGCCCCAAACATTCCCCTCCTGGGAAGCATTTCCCTGAGCTTCTTAAAGGAGCTGATCCATTCTTCTCCCTACCTTTCGTTTTTTACCTTTAATACAGATTCTTTTTCTAATAGGACCTTTTCAGCCTGTCCTGTCCTCAGCCCCTGTTCCATGAAGCTCTCCAGCTTCATGTGGACTGAATCCCATTCAGGTTACAGACCCCATATACAATTAGCAATTGCTTTCCCTCAATCAGGAACCATGATAACACCGGCTCGCCAATCAAAACTGTTATGAGAGCAAATGCAATCCTTGTGACCCCAAGGTTTCATCATCTCATACCAAATGAGAACATTGGCCCAGCATTTTTAATTGTCTGCTGTTGGGTTTTCATTTCCATTTGCCATGAGCAGTTAATGATCTCTTATTAGCTGGTGAGCAAGAGGCTTGTATATCTTAGTGAAGCATTTGACATTATTGATTAGGATATTTTACTCCTAAGCCTCAATTTGTTAGGATTTCTGGCAGCCCCCTTATGATTTCAAACAATTTAGGGATTAGGGAGAGGGTTGGAATACACAGGATCAAGTCCTCTGTGTTGGGAATTGGAATTCCTCCCGCATCCTCAATATACCCCCGCATCCCTCTTTCCTTTCTTAAAGGAAAATCACAGCTTTCCTCAGAAGCACCACATTTCCATTCCTAATGCTGCTTATCATTTATGCCAGACATTCCCTGCCCCTTTCGGCTCAGAACCAGGTTCCTACATCAGCTTCCCAATTTTGTGGCCCTGAAGCAAGACACTTGGATGCATGGGAGCCTGGCAGCACAGCAACATGCAAGACAGACCCATGCACTTACCTTGATTCCCCCTTCAGTACCTCTTGAACAGCCACCAGGACTCAGACCTAGGGAAGAGGTTCATTCCCTCCTCTCTCCTCCAGTATCAAAATCCTCTAGGGCACTCCATATCTTCCCATGGTCACTGGTGTGGGATCATCCTGCTCCACTGCCACCTGCAGCCCCATCACAAGTGTGGCCTCTCTCCCATTAGTCTCTCATCTCAACCCAATGCAGCGTTTGCTGTGTTGCCCTGCACCACCCACCTAATGGCCATCTTCCTCTGCCACTATTCACTCAGTAGCTCGCATAGATCATATTCAACACAGCAAGGTAATTTGGGATGCAGGCTCTGTGGAGGAAACCATTCACAATTAGATAGCATTGGAGGGCAGCAGCTCAGAAGAGGCCTCTCTGGCTTCTGTAGGTCTTATCAGAAGGTTAACTGGTGTTAACAAGGTTAACACAAGCTCACTGCTTGAAGCCATCTCCTGCAGCCCTGAAGGTTCACATGAGGACTGGGGCATTTTAACCACATGGTCTCTCATGCTTTGGGACCATTACCTTCAGCGGAGGAGTGAAAAGAGGGATGGAGGCAGCACCTTTTGAACCGCTTCTGCGCAGACTCAGCAAATGGATCCGTCACTGCTCTTGTGTACATTGTTCTTCATGTCACCTATAAAATCTCTCACTACTTTTATGCTCTCATTTTAAACCACAGCTTTGTCACTCTGTCACAAAAAGCCAATTTGCCTGTTAACAAATTGATTCTCTTCCTTGCGTGCATCGTCTGATTTGCACAGGTCCCTGTTGGGTTTGTGCCATCTCTGCAATGTAAGAGCTCTGCGACAGGCTGCATGTGAAAGACTTGGTAAGCTCAGCAGTGGTCCTCCGCTCCAAGATTCATGGGTCTCGAGAGACTTCCCTCTATCCTTTAAGCCTATTTCTTGACAATGAAAGTTGCTGATAAAAATTGCCACCTGATGGATGCCTCATCACAACAAGGCTCCAGAAAAGGGAGCCTGGGGGCTGTACCCGAGAGCTAAGGTATACAGTGACACAAGGCCTTGGGAACAAGTCCCCAGCTAGAAAGGGTCAGGAAACCCATCTCCAGCCCTGCATGCATCAGCTGGCAGGACCATTCTGACCAGTGTCTGCAAGACATCCAACGCTATCGGATGCCCTGTGCCTCAGGAGCAGGGACCCTGCCTGAGCTCTCCCTGGGTAAACTACACCGGATCTACCCCTCTAAACTAACAGCAGGTAAGACACGGTTAACTGGAAGATCTCACTTTATATTGACAGAAATCTCCCACGTAAAGGCCATGCTTAAAGGTAAACTGATCTCCAGGGAAACAGGAACAGGCTTGGCCAGCCTGGGGTTTGCCACGTGGGGTTTTTGTCCCTTTCTTCCTGGAACGTTATCATCTGTATCTTTGCCCCCAAACGTAACAGAGAATTGAAACCATTTAAATCCTGTGAAATAGACTTTACAATCTGGATTTTATTCAGTGACATAAACACTTAATTACAAACATCTGTTTTAGCCTAAATCCTAATTACCTAATCTAGCCATCTGTAATTTGAATGATTTTCTCTGATTTCCTTTCTTTGCAGTGTGATTAATGAGAATAGCATTAGAGCAAGCAGCTCCCTCCTCCTTCTTCAGATGCTTCCTCAGCTCTAGCAAGAAAGCCCTGGGATTTTGCAGCTTACAGGAAACCTCCCTCCTGTCACTTCCAGCTGTTGAGCTCCCTTTTTATCCCTTTAGTATGAGTTATTCCACAAGATATCTGCTTCTCAGGACTAAAAGGGGAAGCTCTTATAGAGAGAGGTGCAACCTGCCAGATTTCCAACAGCAGAAACAATGCATGGGAAAATGGTACTGGGCTTCCCTTGAAGCACAGGGGAGGAAACACATTCCCTGCCAGGGAATATTTGACTTAACCTCCGACCTGCATCATCACCACTCACCCAGGGCCAGGCCCTTTTCCCATTACCTGGGACATGGCATATTGGTGATGGAGCTTTGCTACAAACAGAGAGCGAACCTTCACATCATCAGAAAGACATCACCTTTTGGTTAAGGCTCTGCACTAGGGCTGAGGAGAGCTGAACCCATTTTCCAATAGATTGCCTGGCTCTGAGATAATGGGAAAAGTCACTTCCATGCCTCACTTCCCCATTTGTACGACAAGGATTACAGTCCCTCCGGGGCAGCTGAGCACCAGTAGCACAAGGGGAGCTACCCATCACAGGCAAGAGCAGCCACAGAGCGAATGCTTGGGAAGCCACCACAGCCCTCAGGGCAGGTCCCATAATGACAGCAGGGCTGGAAGTGTTTAGATCAGGGCAATGCAGCGTGGCCAAGCCCCCTGCCTCGAGACATGTCCTCCCTGGCCCAGGAGGAAGCCTGCTGTATGCCTGATTACACTTTATGAATGACTGAAAGGAGCATGCAGCTGACTTAATATTACACTGACGGGTGATTTAGGCTCAGGCTCACAAACCAGACAGCTCCATTCAGCTCCAAACTCCTTCATTCCTTAAAGAAAGTGCTGCAATGGGGCACACTCCTGCATCCTTCCACCTCATTTTGCTGGTGGTTCAAGACAACACAGGGTAAGGAAGGCACAATGAGATGAGTTATTCCCCCATCGCTCCAGTTTCTACTGTCTTCTGTTTGTACTAATAAAAGGAAATTTATTTTTAATGACTCCAAACAGCCCCTGCAACTGTCATCCAAATAGGAAGCTTCCTGGTAGCAACCCTATAGAGATTTAGCAGGGCAGACAGCAAGCTCGCTGCAGTCATATCTGCACAGCAGGGCTGGGAGCAGGGAAAGCAGGATGGTCCCAGGCACGTATTAACTGTGACCTGAGCTCCATGGCAAGCCAACAATACAGAGACACAAAGGGCAGAAAGCTCCTTATTTTGCCTGTTTAATATCACTTCTGTGGTGATAAGGAGGTTTTCAGCTTCACACAGCTCCCTCAGCTTGTTAAGGAGACTATGAAGTCATTAAAAGCAATGCAAATGGTTCCACTGATGGCATTTTCTCTCTCCGCTCTCCCCCAGCTCCAACCATGACCCCCTGCATCCCAGAGTTAGCAAATCTGCTCTGCAACCTTCCCAGTTATAAAGAGTCCCTAGGGAAGATCTCGGTGCTGATCTGCACGCTCATCAGGGAGCATCTAACTTAACCCAGCCCCTTGGCATCTGCCTAAACCCAGCCCTTTTTATCCTATTTGCATCCAGACTCCCTCTTCCACAAGCCATTTTCCTAGAGATAAAATACACAGACAGGGACAGATTTCACAAGGGAAACACCGAAACAGGGCTGCATCACCCCCTGCACACACATTTAAATATAATCCAAATTAAGACGAGGCTTTAATTTAAAGCTGAACAGCCACTCAAGCACAGACAAGCCCTCTAAAGCTCTATACCCACACGTCTCCCCAGGGTCCCTTCTGGAAGGCTGCAGACTTTCAGGATCACTTTAGTATTCCCCAGATAAGGATGCTCAACACTTGAAGTCCTCTCCTACCTACTTAACTAAGCAGTTCTGTCCAGTTCATCCTTCCCAATCCTGGACCACCATCTCCCCAAGACCAACCACCACAAAGGCCAATCCAAGGTACAGCAGCATGACAGCAGCCTGGTGATGCGCCCCAGCTCTTTAGCACAGGGGTTGAATAAGTAGTTGAAACCATACATTTAAGACCAGAGTTTCTGTCTCTTCACATGGTCTTCACACTGCATTGCCTGCTCTGAACCAGCTCTTTTCCCAAGGTTTTCCTGTTGGCCTATGGCAACTTCCAGCTCAGGGAGGCAATGGGAATGAATTTTACTTACTGCTGGCCCAGTGAAAGGAGCGTGATCACAATTCTCCTGCCAGGACTGGTTGAGGCTCTGGACAAACTCTTGGAAGAAAGCATGAGACTGGTTGAAAATGGAAAACCCCAGGATGTTGACTCGGTCGTCGAGCAGGTTGTCCAGGCGCTGGAGGGAAAACTCCTACAACAACCCCAAACAGAAAACGGGATTAGGGAAGAAAACGGGCACGAAAAGCTTCAAAACCACTGCATACCGTGATGCCTGCTAACCATGCCTGACTGTGGGGCTATTCCTTATTAACCAGCTCTCCTGACAGGAGGTTCCCCGCTACACAGAGGTTGCAGCAGAGGCAGGGAGGAGGAGGAGATTTTGCAGGTGAAGCCAGTAACCTGCCATAACCAGTCAGAGGTGGTCAGGTTTATTGTGGCAGATCCAGAGCACAAAGCTCCTTTGTAGATTCATACTTCCCAAGCAACGCTTTCTCCAAGGCACTCCCAGAAAATAATCCATGCTGTGTTCACCATGAAAACACTGCTGTGCCTGACTATTGCTATGGCTGAGAACACCAGTGGGAAGACACAGGCCATGGCTCTTCACCCAAACCTAGGGCAGGAGGGATGCCCAGGCCACCAAGATGACCGGACTGTGGAGTTCCATGTCTGGAGAGAAACTAATGTCCTTTACTATTATCTATCTCCTCCAAGAGCCTGGGCAGCAATCATTAGTGCAGCAGTGAGCTCTCCCACCACCGTGTCCAATTCAGTGACACCAAGTTTAAGCTGCTAAATCAAAGCAGTTCCTCCCCACAAGGCAACACTGCACTGCTCCTTTCCGCCATCGGGTACCAGGAAGAGATGCCACTTGCGGAACATCCTAATGCCCTGTGGGAAGCTGCTTTGGCTGTGGGCTCTGGAATGCAGCTCATCCTCTTGCATTTCTGAAGAGCAATGTGGTAAGATGTATAGAAATGACTGTATAAAAGAGGCCAAAAACATCCCCAAACAAGCTCTATTTTGCTACTCGCATCAATGGAAGCAGTTACACGACAAAGCCAGTGTCCTGGAGGAAAGTCCAGCCTTTCTTGTCCTATTAGCAGGAAATAATGGTGCCTTCCTCGCTAACCTCTCTTTGGCTAACAGCTAAAACGGAGCGAGAAAGTGGGAGTGATAGTTTCAGAAGCTGCTGGATGCCCATTCTCTTCCATCACTAATACGAATGTCTTTTGGCTCTGTGGACTATGAAGTTTCAGCAAGTCAAGGCATTTTTTATCTTTCCTGCACACGGGTGCATGTAGGAATAATGCCTGTAAATCTTTCAAACATGGACTTACAAGACTATTCCAGCACAGCAATGTCCCATGAGGATGCGATCAGGCACAGGATTTAAGAGCGTTTTGGACACAACCGCATTAACGTTAGGTAACATGAAATTGCTTGCGAACTATTGATTCATTTGAATGATATTATGCTCCTGCCTTCCTGACAGGTTATCCATTCACCCACAGCATCCTGTCAACCCACGCAATGAGGGCAGATGGCTAATGAGAACCTGGGCTTGAGGAGATCCTGGATGCAAGCAGAGCAGCAGGAGGTATATTCAGCCCCACTTCCCCCCAGGCCAGAGCTGGGATGCAAATTGTGTGTGGGACAATGCAAGCAGCTGCCTGATTGCCCTCTTGGCTTCATCATATGCAGAAGGAAAGGAGATGTTGTGTATCGAAACAGCCACACAGTCCAAGGCTTCCACCTCAGGCCAGACCGCCCCAACCTCAAAGCAGCTGAAATCAGTGCCTTTATTTATTAGTGCCTTTTCTCCCTTCAAAGCATTTCTAAGCTTTTGACGTTGCTCAGTTACTGGCAGGTTTGTGACACTCTGCTCCTTATATTAGCAACTCCTGGGTGAGGGAATGAGCCCCACTTCATATGGGGGAAACTGAGGCAGAGGTGCGCTCTACCCCAGTCACACAGCATTGACAAAGCTGGACCCACAGCTCCACTCTACTCGAGCTCGCTGGGTCAGTCCCAACCCCTGGCTTGGATCACTCATTATTCCAGAGGGACCCACGCACACATAAGCTTCATTTCCCTGCGGTAATGCCTGTGCCCTGCCGAGGATGGAGGCAGCTGTCAGGGTCTGCCTGACAAGACAACCACAGGCAGATCTGGAGTCAACACTGCTCTGCTTCCAATGTTAACAGCAGCTTTTTCCCAGCTCCCATTGCTGGTCCTTGCAAGTTTTGGTTGTTCTCTACAGACAACAATCTCCTTATCTGTCTTTTTCTAGGCAAGCCTCCAGCTGCAGAAAACCCCATTTCTGTTGTTGTCATGCTCATAAAGCATTCACCTCTAACACATGGATGGTACACAACCCTTTCTCTTCATTACTCCCTATCCCTTCCCTCTGCCCTCGCTTCAACCCTCCATCTTTAAATGCTTTTTCATTGGACATGTACAAGAGCATTCTGCTGACCCAGGTCAGAAACAAGGAAACGAGCCATGAGCTGCCTATGCAGTGGAAGGGAGATAAACCATCCTTGAGGGACACGCTTCGTTTGCAATGGGATATAAGAGATTTGGTTAGGTCAGGCTTGCTATGGATGGCAAAGGGGTGAGAGCATGCAGATACTCCAGTATCTGCCGGCTCAGCTTCTGTCCCTATTTGTTTTTAGCTTTCTTACACAGCCATTCACCACACCTGACATTTCCAAACCCACATACTGCAAACAAACTCATTTACCATTCAAGGCTTGCACCATTCAGCTGATTTCCCATCCTCAGCCCTGGCCCAATCTCCCACCCTGCCCTCCCAATGGCAAGGGCTGGCTGAGCCTCTGATGCTGCCTGGCAAGAGATGAGCACAGCCAGGAAAAGGGGTGGAACCCTCTGCTCTGGAGATGATCCCAGATGGCTCCTCTCACCATGTATTTGTGTGCAAGCATTTACCTTGACAAAGGCCAGACTGAGGTAGGGAAATACTGCTCAGATTTGAGAAGACACTCGAATGGCTCTGTAGCAGGTACAGGGGGATTCAGTGTTAGATTCCTCTTTGACACTGAAGCTGACTTTTACCTAAGCTAGGCACAACTGTGGCATTCATACCCGACCTTGCCTTGACTGGTAGACAAAGCTGGTGAGCCTACTGCTTACACAGAGTAGTTTCACAACTGCCTTTCCTCTCTTCTCCTCAGCTCATGCAGTTACTCTTCCTTATCTGCACTGCTGGATGATGCTTTTGTAGCCTAGAAGATGGCTTTCCAGGGCAATACAAGCAAGCAGCCATTAGGAAAATAACTCGCACCTATCAGCAGGTTCTTTCTAGAGGAGGACTCCAAGCCCTGGTGCACCTTGTTACGGCCTCCTCTGCCTGCACATATACCTGGTGAACCCAAGAAGGAGTGAAGCACAGCGATGGGTGCAAGCAGCTTCTCCCTCATCACCTCCTATTCCACTGCCAATGCCTTTTCCCCCCTCCCATCATTGCAATGATTGACCAGCACTTTGCCTTCCATCTCAGCCCAGCTCCTTTATGCCAACCGGTCCAACTTGGGGCACAGAGAAGACCATCAAGCATCAAGCCAAGGTGAATTCCAGGTACACAAATCCTGGCTGTCTGAATTCTCACCCCTCTTTTCAGCCTGTTGTTTTAAAGCACCCACCAAAAGCCATCATTCTGTGGGAGGAGATCTCAGGGAAGGCAGGCCCAGAGGGTCTGCAGCCAAAATTAATCAATCAGGGAAGAGAAATCCCCAGGCTTTGCTCAAATCACAGCAAATTCTGCAGCAGCACCAGGCAATTACAGAGTAGATTTTCTGACTTCTATACAGGGCTGCAACCACTAAATATGTGCTGTTAAATAACAACACTTAGCAATTCTATAGTACTCTATATTTTCCAAGTGCTAGGCACACATTAGCTAATTGAATACAAAGGGGTTCCCTGGGAGACAGCAGTGGAGGAGCTATTAGAGGATGAAATCACTCTTGGGTTTCTGTGCTTCATGCAGCACTCGACCTGCACTCTCACTCTACAGCAGCACACAAAAGCTAGGGAGTGACCTGAACATTTAGACTATTTGGAGAAGCTGGCTAATAAAAGCCACACAACCAAGCCCTGTAATTCATGATTTTAAAGCCATGAGCTTGGATTTTCTGGCACCGCTAGCTGCGAGTTATGGATCAGGAGATTTACAGGCTATACGCTCTGTTCCATTAGGAACATAAACCCATAAGGTACAAGCATTTTACCCTCTTGACTTGCACATTCAGATCACAGGCCAGCTGATCCCAGCTGGGACTCGGCACCCACCAGTCCTCTCCCACCTCAGCTCCCACTGGAAATGGGGCTCCTGCAGTGTGCCGGTGGGTTTCTGATGGAGACCCCCTCCTGCCCCGTTTCCCTCCCTGTAACACAACAGCAGCACACTGCTCCTCACACTGCCACAGCACAGTGTGTGTCAGAGTACAAAATCAGCATCAGAGGGGGCTGCCTTGCCTCCTGGGGACTCCTGCCAGGGAGTTATTATGCCTTGAATACAGAGGAGGAAACTGAGGCGCAGAGCTAAAAACGGCAGGCAATTAAAAACCTGACAGCACAATTCAGCCTAGAAGAGACGTGGGTTAACAACGTGCCTTACAATGCAAAGCATCAAAGTCAGCAGTCATAGATAAGCATCTCATTAATCAAGTATCCTCCCAGATCTGCACCTAAGTGATCCACTCCCAAACTAAACTAGACCCCGCAAAGGACGGCCAAGGTCTTCCCTCACTACTGCCATCCATCACATCCTCCCTCCCAAATCTGGGAAGAGGATGGGGACGTCTGCATGGAAAGGGCCAGCCAAGAAGGGGATCATTTCAGGGACTGCAGTAATAGGACAAGGGGTAAATGGTTTAAAACAGGGAAAGTTCAGGTTAGATATAAGGAAGAAGCTCTTTGCTGTGAGGATGGTGAGGCACTGGAATGGGTTGCCCAGGGAGATTGTGAATGCTCCATCCCTGGCAGTGTTCAAGGCCAGGTTGGACAGAGCCCTGGGCAACATGGTTTAGTGTGAGGCATCCCTGCTCAAGGCAGGGGGTTGGAGCTGGATGATGTTAAGGTCCTTTCCAACCCAAACCAGTCTATGATTCTATGACCATTAGTGTCATAGCAGCCTGCCTCATAAGCAAATATTGCTTCATGTGC